GATCATAAACATAGAATCTGGGATTGAAACCCCTGATCATAGGATCCTTGGAATGCAAAGGGAAGCAAGTCTACACATTGAATTGCAGCACCTCAGACCACTTAGTCTACCATGCCTGACTTCTTTCATATGGAAGTGCACTTGCATAAAATATGAAAACATATAAAACTATGTTCTTACACATAAAGAAGCACACATACCAGGCTGAAGTAGATCCTTTAGAATGCAAATTGTGTGAGCCTTTTTCTTTAATAGGTCAGACCAATTTTTTTTCTGGTGTTTTTTTCTGGTGTTACAGATCCACCAAACTGGATTCGACATTCGACAAAAAAATAAAAATGAAAAAGGCTTTAAAAAAAGAAAAGAATTGGTTCTCAAGCAATGGCTTTTGAAAACATAGTGAGGCGGGAAGTGGTTCTTTTGTGCTTGTTCAAATCAGAATGTAACCAAATAAACAGTTGTGTCCCATCAACCTGGGATTGGCCTCCCTACATAAACAAGCATACAAACTCCTATTGCTGCCATGACCATAACACGAGATACGCAGTAAAGCAGTGCACATGTAAAGGGAAGTAACTGTGTGCTATATTGGATCGCACTGTTTTAAAGTATTATAAGCATACTAATTTATTATTTTTTTTAAAATGGAAATGAAAACGAAACGTGTGGAAGACTTTATGATGATGCGGGCTGTGCTTGAGAACCAAGACTATTAATCTTTTTAGCCAAATGATTTTCTTTTTCCAATAATGCACCCATATCACAAAATATCAATCAATTTCTCAATGGAAGGGAAGCAACTCTTCTGCACTTGTCACTTGCCATCAGCAGACGTCCAAATTATTTAATTGGATGACTGGTGTGTCTGCCAAATCTTTTCTTGCTTATAACCGTTGAATGCACAGAACAGAAAATGGCACCTACAGCTAGTCAAGGTTGGTTGTAGTTTGTGAATTTGTTGTTGGCATTTTTCGCACAGGTGTACTCAATGCTGACAAAGTGCTTAACCCAACAGTCACAAAACAGAACAGTTTTCTGATTAAGAAAGTTGTTTGTTGTTAAACCCAGCTCTCAGCAATACTCCAGCTATATGACGGCAAACTGTAAATAATCGAGTCTGGACCAGACAATCCAGTTATTGACATCATAAGCACCGATCCACGTAATTGGGATACCATGACATGTATCAACCAAGTCAGCGAGCCTGGCCACCCGATCCCGTTAGTCGTCTCTTACAACAAGCATGGCACCTTTTACGGCAAGCATGGGTTGCTGAAGACCTATTTTACCGTGGATCTTCACAGGTCTAAGCAAAATTCCTGAAATAATGCTTACTGACACCATTGGTGATTTTAATGTTATGGCCATACAATTGCTAGCTGCTGGGTCTGATTTACGATTTCAAGAAATTATGCTTCTTGGGAGATGATTTCTGAGGAGTTATCCCATAAGTCAGAAAGAAGGTAACATTTTCAAGTTGTTTTTTTTGTTTCTCCATCCAACCACTTTCACCCCAAAACTCCATAAAATACACTCTATTTTATTGATCTGAGAATTATTTTCTTCTTTTTTTCCTCCACTATAAACCAATTTGGTCCGAAGATTCCTCAATGCAAGAAAGGAAAACCTGGCCTTACTGACACTAACAACATGTGGTGCTCAGGATATAAAGTGACATGCTAATGCCCACAAAACATTTCCTTTGATTTTGACCATAAAAACAGGAAACATCTGGCCTGCTTCACCTGTGATATTCCTGATACATCTTAACCATCCCATGACAGTAACACAGAAAATGGGTCAATGATACAACTAGCACTTCTTGACAAAAATGGCAATCTTTATGCCGGATAAAAAGAATGGCAAGATTGTTTTTCAGGAAAACCTCAGTCAGCAACATGACTAATGTGTCATGGTGTACAAATACCGCATTCGACGTAATAAGCACCCCACTCTAATAAGCGCCCACGTCGTCATTTGCTCATATATTGGCTAGTGAACAATCCCAATTAGCACCCCTTCCAATTGATCAATGTACACAAGACCTATTCATTTGTGTATAATACGCACTCGAGTGTTATATGCACCCTTAATTATGGGCAATTAAATTCTGGAAAATATATCTGTCGTGTATAATACACATAAACTTTTCTTTTGTATCATTTCAGGCTGTCAGCATAAACCACGAAATTTACAATCTTACTTTACTTTTTTCACCAAAATTATATTGTAATAAGAGCCCCCTATTTCTAATTTTGAGAGCGCCCCTGGGCACTTATTGCGTCGAATACGGCATACATATTTCACGACCCATGAAGATCTGGGTTAGAATTGGTCTTCAGCAACCCATGCATGTTGTAATACTGTATAGCCGGAATACTGCTGAATATGGCGTTAACAACAAAGAAACAAACTAAAACATATTTCACTCCCAAACAAACCAACAGTTAATAACAAGAACAACGCTTACCTCAGTTGCTGGATGAGTGAGTAGGAGTTTACACTGTTTTTTGCAATATATAACCATAACATGAATCAAACCCAGGCCATTGCGTGACGAGGGAAGACTTTAGCCACTCGTCTATCCATGGTCTATACTCATTCAGCCAGGTCAACCAATGCAATAGTTGTATGACATGTATGGAGCGTTGAGGGCCTTCTCTCCTCCTGCATCTCCATGGAGGAATAATATTGTATTGCACTCAGTTACACTTTTTAAAGGTAGTCATCAAGTCATACATAAGGGCTGGAAGATCTAAAGTAACATGTGACTAAAATGGCACAATGAAATTTCATATTTGCACACGGTATGTACCAGTACAACATTTTGATTCAGGAAGCCATTTTGACAACAAGGAGATTGCCATGATTAACATCTTTGACATAAGACAACATATTGATACATTAGCGAACAGAAAGACGGATATGAGGAGAACTGACATTCTGACTGTTTAAACACTCTGTGAATGGATTTATGAGTAGAAAAATATTGTGACACTTAAGAGGGCATGATAATGTAAGCCTCATTTTAGTCTGAAGCAGTGGATGGAAGAGGGGTTTGATGGACACCTTTAATATCCGTGAATGCATGTACATCGTTCTGACCGCGTCCGTGGTCTAGAGGTAGAGCGTCTGCCCGGAGAGCGGAAGGTCCGGGGTTCGATCCCCGGTTCGCGTCATACCAAAAGACGTTAATAGATGGTACTTGTTGTTACCCTGTCTGGCGCTCGGCATTAAGGGGCTAAAACAAGGACTGGTCGGCTCAGAGTCAGTATACTGTGTCTGAGTGGGTTTTTTATGTTAAACTGCGGCATGGTATCTCAGTAGGCTAGCACAATAAATCGGCATCAGTCCGGACTAGTACAAGCAGCTACACACACACGTGCATGCACTTCGCTATATAAGTGCAATAATCTTGGATGGGACGTTAAACCCAATTTCACCTCACCTCACCTACATCGTTCTGACAGACAGAGGTGAGTGAGTATGGTTTTACGCCACTTTTAGTAATATTCAAGCAATATCACGGCGGGGGACACCAGAAATGAGCTTCACACACTGTACCCTTGTGGGGTCTGACATACAGAGGTGAGTTGATATGTTGTTTTCATGTCGTGTTCAAGATTATTGCCCTTATTTAGCGAAATGCAAGCTTCTCAGGACAGACACTTTATCCACTAGACCACAGTGTCACTCCTCTGGCCTACATATAAATACAGCAGGAGTTACACGATGAAAGATGCTGCAAACATCCCCCTCCATCCTCATCACTGACATAACGACATGACAAGGGGTACGGCAAATGCATACAATATGTGAATATTCCGCTATCACACTTTCAATACTTTAAAGTGGCATTTTGATCAGTGATCCTTAACTCATTTTTACAATCATGAAATGCACTGTGTCACCCTTGAACTGCGATGGATGATGATTTATCAGTGTTTGATGGCACAATCAAATTAACAATTGTAAATATAGGTAATGAATGTAAATATGGACATGATCAATAAAATAACATAACCATTAACTTGAGAAAAATAACAGTGCCCTTTCATTGAAACCATTGATTCAACCCATTAGCAAATAAACAAAACTTTTGATTATGAAAATAGGTCAAACATACCCTGTCGTTGTTATCATGGTCATTTATTGTGTATATGCCTTTTTACGTCACCTGAATTCTCACATATACAAATCCCATCAAGGATCCTACTCTGTGGTAGCAATAAGCTGAAACAGACTGTATCCACTTCTAAATGTACAACATTTAATATAGTATATGCAATAATACATGCCCTAGGTGTTTGAAAATTGACAAATAGGGGTACTTATAAAAAACATTAACAATTTAAATTTGTTGTCGAGATCGAGCGATAGTGAACAAAATAAGTTCAACCATCGATGACACTAAAACTGTTTCAGTAACAGTCAGTGGGCAATTATATCATCTTCCCAAGGCAAGTGAGTTAACGGACTATAAACGTCCAGTTTCCACCCTTGCCGAACTAGGCTGGTATTATGGAGTTAGAATTTGGCTAGACTAACGAGTCTATGCATAGTCCAATCAAAATCGCGCAACGAAATCGAAATCCGGTTAGTAAACTGTCGCGCAGATTTCGGTCGATTGCAAGATTTGTTGTCAACAGATATTTTCCAAACATTTCCATGTTTTTGATAAAGGTGCTCACGTGATTTGATGCACTTCGCGATGTAAGACCCTTCTTATCACAACATAGATCTTGATTATCGATCAGATCTTCTTGACTGGGCGCCAATGTTTTGTTTGAAACAAATGCAAGTGATTGAATCTGATTGGTCCATAGGAGAGGCTTAGAAGGGACATAACTCGTAATAACCACTGCTACAATCGAGCCAAGGAATTCCAGCCAAGTTTGGCAAGGTTGGAAACTGGACTTTTAAAGTCAGTTAACTCTCTTGCCTAGGGAAGATGCAATGAAATATGCCTACTACGCCTTTTTTTAAAGAAATCTGTAATATACGCAAGAGATGCAGACTGCCATGTTAATTTTCAGTCTCTGAAGGCGTTTATTATTCACATATTGTTCTTGAAGTTGGTCAAGGGGTACTTATTAGAGCAGTATAACTTTATAATCATGAAACAATGAAATATGAAGACGTTGTAGTGAGAAGTTTGCATTTTCCTCTTCAGTATCAAATTAATTGTTAAATTAAATAACATTTATGAAGTATGTTTTGGAACAATGTAAATAATGCTACTTTTGAATGAAACACACTTCGTTGTAATCAGATTTTACAGTAAGTTTGTGTATATAGAAAAAATTGACATTGAAATCATCCTCATTTTGGGCAAAGTCTTATAGACATTTTAAGAAATGAGTCCCTGTTAGATAATTTTTTATTTGGAGTGTATTTCAATACATATCAAATGAGCATCTTTTCTGAGTGCCACTCTGCCTGCACTTAGATTGTTGTGAATATTTCACACACCATGTCGTTTCTGAGCACGAATCATGGCATCTACACCAGAAAGGGTGCACCATCGAGGGAACATATTTGTTATGGGTGGGTTCTCTTTCGATCAGAATCAAGGTTTACCACTTTGGAAATTAAGCAGATTTGTTTTAAAAAGTTTACACAATGCTGATATTTGATTGGCTAAGGAACCTACACATACTTCAGATTACACATTCCAGATTCCAGATTCATTATTTCCATCGATAAAAGAGGTTGAAAAGGAAAACAAAAAAATTGAGCATTGTTTCTTCCTTTGACGTCGCCATTATCATTAATAGTTTCAAATCAGAAACAGAATCAACAAAGCAAATGGACAATGCTTGATGTACAATTTATAAATATATGGATATCCTGAAGAATATCCAATAAAAATGTCAACCATCTTAAACTGATTGCTGCACTGACAACAACAAACAAGAATTTGAACTTTCGTGTTTGCAATATTAATATAACAAAAACTTGCATCTTCAATCTGAAATATACAGGCTTTGACATCTTTTTGAAATGTGTGACACATTACACATTACAGATTACAGATTATCAGCATAGCTGTCTGACAGCTCAAGGACTGATGGCGTCCATATTGCCACCTTGCCGTCCTTGCTGCCTCCACCGCTCATGACATAACGGATGTCAGCGAGGCACAGCGAGCGCACGGCATCGTCATGGGCGCGCAGTGACTTCCACAGCTGGTGGGTGTTGGTGAGGTAGATGTAGACGGTCCCTGCCTTCGTGCCCACCCAGATCTAGAACAGGAAATTGATTCTATGAAGTATGGGTGAAAGTTGATCATTACTCACTGTACTGATGCCTCTACACTAGCATCTTCCCAAGGCAAAGGAGTTAACTGACTGTAAAAGTCCAGCTTCCACCCTTGCTGAACTAGGCCAGAATTATGGAGTTATATTTTGACTGGACCAATGAGTCTATGCATAATCCAATCAAAATCACGTAACAATCAGATCGTCTTCACAGGGTGCCGCCATTTTGTTTGAAGTAAATGCAAGTGATATGGAAGAGAAATGGAATCTGATTGGTCAATGGGAGGGTCATAACTCGAAATAGCCAGTGGTGACGCTTAATCGAGCCCAGACATTCCAGCCTAGTTCGGAAAGGGTGGAAACTGGACCTGTATTATCGGTTAACTCCCTTGCCTCGGGAAGATGCTACACTAGACGTATTCTTACCTTGTTGTCACACAGCAGCAGTGTACTGATGCCTCTACACTCTAGTCGTATTGTGGCGCTCTGTGAACCTGTGTGTCGATCCCACACCACCAGTATGCCTTCCCTCCGAACTCCAGCCCACACCTGCAGCAGTCAATGTTCAGTGTAGTCATGATGTGGATTTGCTACAGCCCTCTCACTGAGACTAACACTCAGTTACGGTTTACAAGAAAATGCTATGTTTTGAATGTTGAAATACCACATTGCAAGATGCCACTAAGTTCAATTTGACACTGAGAAAGTTTTGGTTTTATGTGTCTTTGTTTGTTTGTTTGTTTCATGTTGTTTAATGCCACACTCAGCAATAGTCCAGCTATATGACGGCGGTCTGTAAATAATCGAGCTGGACCAGACAATCCAGTGATTGACATCATGAGCATTGATCCACACAATTGGGATACGATGATGTGCATCAACCAAGTCAGCGAGTCTGACCACCAATTCCCGTTTGAAGACCTATTCTATCCCAGATCTTCAAGGGTCTTTATATGTGTAAATTAGGTTGTTTGTTTGTCGTTGAACATCACAATCAGAAAAAAATCCACACCCTATAAATATAAACCAAAGATTGATATTTTGAGAAGCAATCAACCGTATCATTGAGCCTGACCACTACTGTATATGACCGCGTATAAGCCGAATTTTGAGGACCAGAAAAAAGATTCTGTAGAAAGGGGTCGGCTTATCAACGGGATACACTTTCATGATAGCATTTTTCAGATCGTGATCTGTCAGAAACAGCGCTGAATGACGGTCCGATAGATTACAACTTCCCGAAAGTTTGGAAGTTGCCACGACTAGAGCCATTATTGTTATAAATTATCAATAAAGTTGTTATTATACACCAATGTTGTCATTATTAAAAAAATGTTATGCATGTTACTACTTCCGATAATAAGTTTTCAATTGAATGTTCAAAGTTTATCGTTTTTCATAAACTCCACAATCTTTAAATGTAACAATATATGTAATCCACAGCTATAATACATGGGCAGATACAGCTTTTTTGAAAAGACAAACTAGTGATTACCAACATGATGACCCAAAATATGCCAGGACATTAGTCTGAACACCTATCACAGTTCAATAAGTGCATTACTAGAGCCAGCACAGTACTGTTTGAATTTGTGTATGATTATCATTTGTGTCAAGACCACTGACAAGACAAGGGCCAGTGACAAGACAAGGGCCAGTGACAAGAAAAGGTCCAGTGACAAGACAAGGTCTAGGAGAAAGGTCTGTTCCAGAATATGCTAAAAATAAAATATTTAACACCCCCCTCAAAATGGTTAGGCACTTCCCTTCAGAGTAGAGTTGAAGTACTCAAATATATGAAAAAATATTCTGTTTCACTAAAAATTCCCAGACCCCCCTGCATGATAAATGTTCCTGAAGAGATTGGTTGGTTGGTTGGTTTGTTGTTTAACGCCGCACTCAGCAATATTCCAGCTATATGATGGCGGTCTGTAAATAATCGAGTCTGAATCCAGTGATTAATATCATGAGCATCGATTCACGCAATTGGGATCGATGACATGTATCAACCAAGTCAGTGAGCCTGATCACCCGATCCCGTTAGTCACCTTTTACGACAAGCATAGTCACCTTTTACGGCAAGTATGGGTTGCTGAAGACCTATTCTACCCCGGCGTCTTCACGGGTCATTCCTGAAGGGTGTAAGATGCTTGATATATGCATGATTACCTCCTGATCTGTGATAGCAAAACAATCAAGGTCCACATTTCGCCCATGTCCATCGCTGCTCTGGACACGGAAACTGTCGATTTCTTCTCCATTCTGATTCAGAACGACAATTCTCTTCCATGTTCCTGTTGAAAAAGTTGGAAAACACTTGCATTTCACTAATTATCTACAGGAAATGGAGCTTACATGTCTCACTGGAAGAATTTTCGGCCTGATGAATCTCTATTCACATAAGTCTCCTACCCAGAGGTGAGGTGAAATGGGGTTTAACGTTGCGTTCAAGATTATTGCACTTATATAGTGACGTGCATTCGCGCGTGTGTGTGGCTGCTTGTACTAGTGCTAGCCTACTGAGATACCATGCTGCAGTTTCACATGAATACCCCACTCAGACACAGTATACTGTTGTCCGAGCCAACCAGTCTTTGTTTTAGACCCATAATGCCGAGCGCCAGGCAGGGTAACAACAAGCACCATCTGTTAACGTATTTTGGTATGATGCGGCCGGGTATCGAACTGTCGGCAGACACTCTACCACTAGACCACGGAGGCGGTCTCTCCTACCCAGAATTGCTAGAGATCAACCTATAACCATGATTACCTCTGCCACAAGCCAGCAACATGACAATTCGGTACATCTTACACAGTTCATTCATCTTGCGTACAGAAACGCATGCATTAAATGAAAAAAATCAAATGTATTAAAACAGCAGGCATAAATACCCAATGAAGCTTTTTCAGCATGCGTACAACGGAGCTAATTTCCAAAACACAATTATGAGCTAATTTACTTTATGAGTCAAGCCTATATATTTAGAACAGTTATATACATCTAAAACATTATTTCATATTTTTTTAAATTTTAAAATGTTCACTAATTTTGGGAAAAACCCAATCGATTGATGAATGGATGAGTGACAAAATATTGGTTACCCAATGAAAAATGTGATCACCCAAGGACGTATATAAATACGTCTTTGGAAAACCCAATTAAGATAAAAGCCCTAGAGTAAAAACTCGATTGCTCAAAAAGTTATCTGCTCATCAATGTCATAGTTATAGTAGCATATATTAAAAAGTACGCAAATCCATCTGTAAATCACATTGACATGCTTCCACCAGACGGGACTGCTCAGATTTTAGAATTATATCATTTGTTTACAATAAAGAGCAATCTCATTAAAATCAGATCTTAGTTCCCGCTTCCGCTAAACAAAGATCTGAGGACATCCCATTACCTTGCGCGAACTTTGACCGACCAATGGAATGACCAATCAGAAGGCAGCTTTCTCGTGCTTTACGGCACTAATTTCAAATTGGCGACTACGCTTCAAAACATATTTTGACAAATTCTCGATTTCAGATTTGAAACCTGAACAAAAGAACATTCTGGAATGGTGAATAGATGGGTCTAGATTGTATGGATTCAGTCATTAAGCCCGTAACTATCGTTCTGAGTTAAAGTTTTCAAGGTTGCATGATTAGAAATCACATTCTGACTGTCACTTTCATAATCTGGTAAGCGATGCTCTGATTGGTCAGGTGAAAGGTCGTTCTGATGTGACCCCTAATGGGATGTCCTCAGATCTTTGTTTAGCGGTAGCGAGAACTGAGGTCTGATTTTAATGAGATTGCAATAAAGAGAAAAGTCTGATAACTTGACATGCTTGCATGCAGGCAGTGGTTTAATGGCAAGTCATCCCTGTGCTGGAGTATGGTAGCTGCTATAAACTAGGGCTGGGACAAGTCCAAATTTACTACCCAGGTACCCACCCCCCTCTTACCTGACCCTACCTGGGTACCAACTGGAGTTCTCAAGAGATACAAAATGTCTGATTGGGAAATCTTTTTTACCTCAGCACTTGCAAAACATATTTAGATACATGTATTAAACGATCTGGTCATGCATACACCGAAGTTTACTTAAGGTATATCTTTATTCAACCATATGAAAAGTCAGAAGGAATGGGAGCATAGTCAGAAAGAAATGCGACCATTAGTGACTATAGTAACCATAGAAGTTTTGTCATTAAACTCTATATCACATGACTAGCCACGGGTCCGGGTAGTCCTGTGGTGCCCGGGTCCTTCTCAGTACCCACCCGACCCGGGTTCCCGAGTTACCCGTCCCAGCCTTAGTAATATGCGCCGTCATATGCGCCGGACATGTCTGATTGGGAATCTCAAATGTCCGTTTTAAAATATTGCTTACCGGACATTTTAAAAAGTATTGTCCGGACATTCTTAAATTTTGACCAGACATGATCAACAGTTAGGACTGAGCAGTTTCTGTCTGCAGTTGCAACACAATGAAGATTAACTACACTGACAAGCTTTGTTTGTTTTGATTGCTGTAAATTCATCGTACCTACATGATAGTCCAATCGGTCAATCACTGTAATAGGGAATAAACTGAGTTGACACTGATTAATCGAGAATTAATTACTGAGAACATCTTGTTAATTTGAGTGAAAGGTGTTTACATTATATGTTATTAATTGTCCGGTGAATTAAACAATTTAAATTGAAACAATTCATAATTCATTATATTATGAATACGTAAACTTGTAATGTGTGTGAAAAGTCGTACCAAAATACGCTATTTGAAGGGGGCGTGGCCTAAATGCAAATGTCCGATTGGGATTTTAAATTTTCCGGACCCCTGGTACAAACCAAGACATGTTCATGAATAGACACTCAGTGCTGTCAGTGTTTCGGGGGGTGCAGTCCCTGATGGTAAGGCTCTCTCTTACCACACCACAGCTGGTCCCCGATGATCTTCAGAGACCTGAGGCTGGTGATGTCGTTCAGTTGAAACTTCTTCAGCAGTGTCAGAGTCTGGATCTCCCAAATTACGATCAAACCACACACACTGGCTGAGTGGGCATGTCTGAAATACAACCACAGACTCATGCAGTGCCGTACCGTGACATGCAGTCGGTGGGAGGGTGGGTGGTGAACGGATAGTGAATGGTGGGTAGAAGAGTGGATTCATTGGTGGTCAATGATAAATGGATAGGTGGGTGAATGGGTAGATGGGTAGTTGGGTGAATGGGTTGGCGGGTGAATGACGGGGTGGGTGAATGACTGGTGATTGAGTTTGTCAGAATGTAGAGTGAGTGGGTAGTTGAGCCCTGGATTGTGTAGTTGAGCCCTGGATTGTGTAGCTGAGCCCTGGATTGTGTAGTTGAGCCCTGGATTGTGTAGTTGAGCCCTGGATTGTGTAGTTGAGCCCTGGATTGTGTAGCTGAGCCTTGGATTGTGTAGCTGGGCCCTGGAGTGTGTACTTGAGCCCTGGATTTTGTAGTTGAGCCCTGGATTGTGTAGCTGAGCCCTGGATTCTGTATCTGAGCCCTGGATTGTGAAGTTGAGCCCTGGATTGTGTAGCTGAGCCCTGGATTGTGTAGTTGAGCCATGGATTGTGTAGCTGAGCCCTGGATTGTGTAGCTGAGCACTGGATTGTGAAGTTGAGCCCTGGATTGTGTAGCTGAGCCCTGGATTTTGTAGTTGAGCCCTGGATTGTGTAGTTGAGCCCTGGATTGTGTAGCTGAGCCCTGGATTGTGTAGCTGGGCCCTGGATTGTGTACTTGAGCCCTGGATTTTGTAGTTGAGCCCTGGATTGTGTAGCTGAGCCCTGGATTGTGAAGTTGAGCCCTGGATTGTGTAGTTGAGCCCTGGATTGTGTAGCTGAGCCCTGGATTGTGTAGCTGGGCCCTGGATTGTGTACCTGAGCCCTGGATTTTGTAGTTGAGCCCTGGATTGTGTAGCTGAGCCCTGGATTGTGAAGTTGAGCCCTGGATTGTGTAGCTGAGCCCCGGATTGTGTAGTTGAGCCCTGGATTGTGTAGTTGAGCCCTGGATTGTGTAGTTGAGCCCTGGATTGTGAAGTTGAGCACTGGATTGTGTAGCTGAGCCCTGGATTGTGTAGTTGAGCCCTGGATTGTGTAGCTGGGCCCTGTTTTGTGTAGTTGAGCCCTGGATTGTGTAGTTGAGCCCTGGATTGTGTAGCTGTGCCCTGGATTGTGTAGCTTAACCCTGGATTGTCTAGTTCAGTGCCTGTGTGAATAAACAAGAGATAGGGCAGGTGGGCCCTCGATTGTGAAGGTGAGGTTAAGTCTTACCATTTATAACCAGAGAAGCACTGAAAATAAAGCACCATGAGTGAAATGCTAACTTGTTCTACCTTTTATCCTTGGAGATGACAATATCTGTGACCAGATCCTGATGTACGGACAGCGTCTTGTTGCACATGATGGTCTCGGTGTCAATGATGAAGATGCCCTGCGAGCCCACCCAAACCTGCGTCTCCCCGACTGGCACCAGGCAGGCCTGTAATGTAGAAGGCAAGGTTAGGTTTACACCATGCTAGCACCATTTCACCTATATCATTAAGTATGGGCCAGGCCAGGCCAACCAGTGGTGATAGTGACGATCCACCTTCTCGTTACCATGACACATAAGCAGCCAGGTCAGGTGGGTCCACATCCTCACGAGACATCTCTTACAACAAGCATGGGTACCGAGGACCTTCTGTCTCAAAATACCAGAGGGCTAAACAGTGCTGTCAATTTCATGTTTTGGTTCGAGAGGAAAGTCATCGCAAAGTGAAAACTTGAAACCAAGATGACCTTTTTGTATTTTCTATTGAGACATTCTTGGTGTTTGTATGGCAAAGTGTGTATTATTTGGTAACATTATTCTTTGAAAAAAAATTGCAGAATGTTGCATTAAAAGGATCAATGTTGTCCACAAAATATCAAACACTGAAATCCAATTTGCAACAAATGCTTGTTGATTGAGGAAATAAGTTGTCAGGTTGTATCGATATCTTCTTGACAATCTTTCAAAGAGGGCTATTAATAGATGCTGCTATAATGTTAATCTTAAGAGTAGATTAAAGGAAAGTAGCCATAAACTCAGCCATTTCACACACTTCTAGAGACCAGTGAAGATCGGCAGTAGAATAGGTCAGTAACCCATGCTTGCCATTAATGGCGACTAACGGGAGTGGGTGGTCAGGATCGCTGACTGACTTGGTTGATGCATGTCATTGTATCCCAATTGCGTGTATCGATGTTCATGATGTCAAGCACTGGAATGTCTGGTCAAGACTCGATTATTTACAGACCGCCGTCATATAGCTGGAAACTTGCTGAGTGTGGCGTTAAACAACAAACCAAACCAACAAACACACACATCTAGAGAGTAGGTTAAGTGCAACAACAATCCTGGGTACCATAAATTTGTTCAAATAACTGCAATTTCTGAGAAATATGTTCAGACAGGTGGTGTGCTGGTAATGTGTGAAGAAGGAGAATTTGGCTGTTATGTACTGCTCTGTGTGTCCAAAGGGAGACAACTCACTGCGGTGTTCTTGGTCTGTACTATCTTGCCCTCTAGTTCCCATGTTGTGGCGTCGAACACCTTCACCTTGCCATCCCCCATCCCGCACCACAGGCGTGGCGGCAGCTGCTCTCTCCTGTGTAGACTGTCAGCTGCAGGGAGGGGCAGGTAAGTGATATCAGTCATGAAGCAAGGGCCCCTAATTCACCAAACGTTATTAGCAATTCAAACTGACAAGATTCAAACAATTCAAACTTTTTTGCTTCTCAACAATGCGCCCACTGAAGCAAAACAAGGGGTGATAGCCCTCCATGACACACAGTGAATTATGTTATGCACTCTAACCTACAGGGCCCCGTTCCCCAAAGCGATCTTAGTGCTAAGGTGATTGTAAGTCTCATTCTTTAACATAGGCTTACGATCATCGTAGCGCTAAGATCGCTTTGAGGAATGGGGCCCAGGTCCTTTATGTTGAGGCTGATTATGACAAACATGGGGCACAAGTTCTCATGGTGGATTGTCAAATATCAACCACTCTTAATGCTCTTAATTTTCATTTCATTTTCAGTATCCGTAATTCTGCTACTCAGGGACTAGCCATTTATTATTCTCAAGGGCGGAGGGACATGACATGACATGATTGTTAGAGACAGAATGGTGAGTGCGTGAGTGAGTATGGTTTTACATCGCTTTTAGCAATATTCTCGCAATATCGTTGGGGACACCTGAATAATGGGCTTCACACATTGTACCCATGTCGGGAATCGAACTGGGTCTTCCATGTGATGAGAGAACGCTTTAACCACTAGGCAACCGACCGCCCCTTGTGGTCACTGCTTCAAGACTTTTCAGGACATCCATGAACCAAGAATGTTTTTGTTGTCAAATCTGAAAATTAGATATTTTTCCAGCACTTTCTGGAACAACCATTTTTCACAAAATTCCCCAGAAAATCCAACTAATATTAATCCATTATACTTAATTAAAAAGCACAACAACAGGTGAACACCAATTGCTACTCACTTCCTGGTGTGTAGAGAAGTGCCTCCACTGTTTTCCGATCTCTGTCCCCGATATTCGGGTCCACCCTGTGTTGTAGAGCCTCCACAGTGTCCTTGGGAAGGTTGTGTCGCCCCTCGGACATGTACCTCGTGAAGTGACATAGATTCTCAGCAGATGATGTTACAGTTTCCTCATGAGACGATCCAGCTTCATTGCCACTGTCGAAACAAGCAGTTGAACTTGCCATGACTGTGAGTGTAAATGGCCGAAAGAACTTTCACATTTCACTACATTTATTACTACAGAATGTTCATACTTCAATGAACCGAAAAAAATACACAGTCAATCCTTAAATGACCAGTGGCAACAAATCTCTGACAGCAAGGAGCACACTGTGGTGCAGGTCTATGAACATACTTATGACAAATCACACCACTGTGAGACCATATTCATGAATTGATGAATGTTCATGTACAGTTCATGAATCAGGAAAATAATTCATGAAGCAAGTTCATGAATAAGTGTTTGTGCATGTTCATAAAAGTTCATGAATAATTCATGAACTATTCATGAATTATCATTCATCGCCCCGCTGGGGTAGATTTGAACCAGAGATCATAGGATTCTTGCACACCTAAGGACAGAGATGACGGACCCAGACAACTTGATCACCAATGCCAGTCACACCTACTGTTTCTGATGGGGATGTCAAATCAAATACTTCATATCATTAAAGTTATCAAACCTGTTCTAATATAATACTACAGTGCATTACCTTCTAATGACAGCATCGATGAGCATCACATTGATTGTTCCTTGTTGTATTGCAGTTAAGTCCCTTGTTGCCTCGGCAACAACTTTCCCTGCCCTCATCTCCTCAATCAACATAAACCAGCAGTTCCTCTCATCCTTTAGGCAGGCCGTGAACTTGAAGGAACCATCTGGAAACACACACACAAAACAGGTTCAGAGAGGCTTTGTTAAACGACATTGCCAGATTTGATCAGACAAAACTATTTCAGTTCATCAAGCGTGTGCTCCCATACAAAAAACTTTGAAAAGCACTGGCAAAGATTAATCTACAAACAGATCTATTGAGACACAGACAAATTCTTTATAGTGGATAGTGTTGGGAAAGAAGGAGACACAGAGCAATTCTTTAACAGGATGGATGGTGTTGGTCAACAGAAGATACAAACAATTCTTAACTCAGGGTGAAGAGTGTTGCACAAGAAGGAGACACAGCAATTCTTAAACAGGATGGATGGTGTTGGTCAACAGGAGATACAAACAATTCTTTATCAAGGGTGAAGAGTGTTGCACAAGAAGGAGACACAGCAATTCTTAAACAGGATGGATGGTGTTGGTCAACAGGAGATACAAACAATTCTTTATCAAGGGTGAAGAGTGTTGCACAAGAAGGAGACACAGCAATTCTTAAACAGGATGGATGGTGTTGGTCAACAGGAGATACAAACAATTCTTTATCCAGGGTGAAGAGTGTTGCACAAGAAGGAGACACAGCAATTCTTTAACAGGATGGATGGTGTTGGTCAACATGAGATACAAACAATTCTTTATCCAGGGTGAAGAGTGTTGCACAAGAAGGAGACACAGCAATTCTTTAACAGGATGGATGGTGTTGGTCAACATGAGATACAAACAATTCTTTATCCAGGGTGAAGAGTGTTGCACAAGAAGGAGACACAGCAATTCTTTAACAGGATGGATGGTGTTGGTCAACAGGAGATACAAACAATTCTTAACTCAGGGTGAAGAGTGTTGGGCAAGAGGGAGACACAGCAATTCTTTAACAGGATGGATGGTGTTGGGCTACTGAGACAGTCACCTCTATTCTGTATTATAAGCGTATCCACTTTGTTGAGGAAGGTGTGAAGCTGGGACTTCTCCAGTTTGTTGATATCTCTCAGCTTTATTATTTCCTTGTAGCGGTTAGATACATCTTTCAGGAAGAATAACCTGCAGAGATACAATTTTGGGGTAAGGTTTGGAGAGTTCTGGAGAAAGATTTGCAAGAGTGAGAGAATTATGTGTAACTGCTTAACATCTCGGCTGAGTGAGTGTTGAATTTTATCTCATTATCTTATTTCAATAGTGTCTTTCACATTGTCAATATAGTTACCAAATGATATCTTTACTTAGAGCAATATTCATCAGAACCAGTTTGAGTGAGTTGTTTTCCCTCCATTTACTGGTCACCGGATGGGTTTAGTTGTCATGGAAACATATGAAATCATCTACTGTATAATGGTGTCATAGCATTCCCGTGTCACTTTCTGTCTGTCTCACAAATGTGAGAGTTCATGTGGAAACAGACTGACACAGAAAATTACTGATGACTTATTGGTTTGGTTTGTTGTTTAATTCGCACTCAGCAATATTCCAGCTATATGACGGCAGTCTGTAAATAATCGAGTCTGGACCAGACAATCCAGTGATTAATATCATGAGCATCGATCCACACAATTGGGATCGATGACATGCATCAACCAAGTCAGCGACCCTGACCACACGATCCTGTTAGTCACCTCTTACAACAAGCAAATCACCTTTTATGGCAAGCATGGGTTGCTGAAGACCTATTCTACCCAAGATCTTCAGGACTTATTGAGTATTTCATGCACGGAAAACTTAACATTTGAAACCTCCACGTAACGCTGCTAGTTTCAAATTACATTTCTAAGCATCAATACTCAAATATTAGCTGCAAGGAAAAGTTAAGATTTGAAACCTCTGCCTAATGCTATAGGTTCAAAATGAAATTTCCCACATTAAATACTTCTCATGTTCCAGTGACTCGGATGATGAGGTTACCTCTTTTCAGTGAGGGCTATCCTGCCGGTGCCAAAGTCAGTCTTGATTAGCCCAGATACCTTGAGCACATACTCGTCCTGGTGCAGCTTGCTGTTTTGGATCTTCAGGCTGTCACACTGAATCTGGCTTTCCCTGTGACAATCCACAAAACTCTCCAGAGTCTTCTGGTCCACCACTGGTACTGCTGGAAACAACCAGATTGGATAGCCTTGATCATTAAAAGTAGCCACTCCTTCATCTGTAACTCATATCAATTTGGTAACAGGGCTATAGATAAGCTTTTGGTTATTTGGGTATTTTACCCAGGGGTTTGATGTTGATTGGGTAGCTACAAGTTTTAGAGGGTATTCAATTTTTTTTACCTGCCTGTTTCTTGACATTTGGGTATTTAACTTAAAACCTGTTCCGTAACAATCCCTGTAAATCATTCATACTATGTGAATAGTAGCATACCCGTCTGCGTCTGCTTGCGGCTCCCTTTCCTTTTTTTTGTTTAAAAACCCTAGCATTGTAAGAAAGGCACTATTGTTTTTATCACCAATCAGCGACTGATTAAGATACAACATGTTCATTGACTAGGCACGATGTGCTTTTCAATTGCCATCTATCAGAATGTTTGTCGCAGAAGCCTTTCCAAATGTAACTGTTGGTAAGTGAATTTGGCGATCGGCTGATACTGTAAATCCGGAAATTAATGAGTACTTCCACCAAAACAATACATGCACGCTGGCTCGTGACGGCCTTTGATGCAGTTGCAAAGAACAAAGACACCATGTTGTGTGGGTGGCGTCTGTCTGGACTTGCAGGTGTGATCAGTGATGACATAAGTGAGTCTCTTGTCTTGATCCCAGCAGTGACAATTCACAGGATGTAGTTAGTGTTTGAATGACATTGTTTATATACTTGTTACAAGTGCTGCTCAATAAACAGTGGTGTGGACTACATCAGCGTATGTCTAAGTTGGTATTTCTGCTATCCAAAATGTCTTATTGTTGATATAAATGCAATGTTTAATAACGCCAGCAAAGACCACTTGTATTTTTCGCATTTAATTCACACTCGCGTTAATTTCAAGATTTACAGTAATCATTTTATCTTATAGTTATAACATAGCCATTAATTTTAATTCCATAGTGTATTTATAGCTTTTGTGGCGTGTTTAATATGCTAGGATTTGATTTGTCAGCGTATTTTACGCAAATACGCAGCTTATCTTGAGCTCTGTGGTAATGTCAAAACCCACAATCATAGGTTTGTAAAACTGGTTGGTTGGTTGGTTTGTTGTTTTACGCCGCACTCAGCAATATTCCAGCTATATGATGGCGGTCTATAAATAATTGAGTCTGGACCAGACCATCCAGTGATTGACATCATTAACATCGATCCACACAATTGGGATACGATGACATGCATCAACTAAGTCAGCGATCCTGACCACCAGATCCCCTTTTACTACAAGCATAGTCGCCTTTTACGGCAAGCATGGGTTACTGAAGGCCTATTCTACCCCGGATCTTCACAGGTTTGTGGAACGCTTCAGGGATGTGACTCTACACAGTAGAATGAGATGCTTTAGATGACAGGGTCATTGTGTCTATTAAAACATTGTCTCCAGCACCAATGGAAACCAGCCTTGTAAACATCTGCTCGTGCACCAGTAAAAAGGTGATGTGTACGATTAACAACATGATCTAATTTGCATACTTATGTCATACATGTTTGTATGGGATAACATAATCTCTATATACCTGTTCACTTCTAACAACCTTCTGGTTTGAATAAGTAAAAATTGAGGGCTCACTTATAGTTAGAGCATAGATTGATGCCTATTCGGTTTAGAAGAGACACGTTGATTGTTGATGTCATGTTCAGAAGCATATGGAATTCTGTGCTAAGTTAAAGATAGGAGTCATGGACATAATGCTAATGTTAATCAGGTATCTGATCTGCATAATGCTGGTAATGGTATACACATTTAAAATTACATCTCATACACAACATACTCACGCAATGAAGACCCAACAGACAATTTTGATTTCGATATTAAGATATACAGGTATGACAACAGCTGAGCTATGGCTACTTGTTGAAGAGGGTTGTGTGACAAGTGACTAATCACTTCTATCGATCAAGTCAGGACTAAACAAGCATGAAATACTCACATCCCCCGCCAATATGACATGTCGGGTGTGTGCAATGCATTAGCTCCTGTGAACTATGTTCACGGGGCCTTTTTGTAAAGAAATATACTACGTTTTTCAAGATCTGCTCCGGAAACGAGGACTACCTCCATTTTCAGTCTAAATCAAAGTCGTTGCCATGGAAACTCTAAAATAACTCTTAAAAAAAACAAAAAACTATCCAAAGGCACCAGTTCACCACTAGACCAATTAATGTGCAAAATATGGTGAAGAAAAATGGTCAGTTTTCAAGATCTGCTCCGGAAATGAGGACAACTGCCATTTTCAGTCTAAATCAAAGTCGTTGCCATGGAAACTCGAAAAATTTATTAACTTTTTTAAAAATCCCAAACTATCAAAAGGCACCAGTTCACCACTAGACCTATCTATGTGCCAAGTATGACGAAGAAATATGGTACGGTTTTCAAGATCTGCTCCGGAAACGAGGACTACTGCCATTTTCAGTCTAAATCAAAGTAGTTGCCATGGAAGTCGAAAAATTTATTTTTTTTAAATCCCAAACTATCAAAAGGCACCAGTTCACCACTAGACCTATCTATGTGCCAAGTATGACGAAGAAATATGGTACGGTTTTCAAGATCTGCTCTGGAAACGAGGACAACTACCATTTTCAGTCTAAATCAAAGTCGTTGCCATGGAAAGTCGAAAAATAACTTTTTTTTAAATCCCAAACTATCAAAAGGCACCAGTTCACCACTAGACCTATCTATGTGCAAAGTGGCGGGGGATAATAAACTTAAAACTTTACTGAAACCTGCCTACAAAGAGAGCATGAGAATGTGATACATAATTCTCCATACTGTTAGCACATTTGAACCTTTCAGTCCTGGTGAGCTAAATAGTCTGATGATCGTTCTGAGTTTACTCACCATTCTCTGAAGTACAGAGGGAGAAGAAGAGCCTCTGTATAGTATCATAGTCGTTGGCGATCTCCAACATCGATATGGCATCCACAAACTCATCAAGTACTGAAAAAAAACATAACAACAAGTAGTGCAAAATGCCAACAGGGAGGGGGACACATTGTCAACCAGGCGAAATATTGTAACCACTCATTCCTATAGGAATTTCTTCACTCCACTCAACAACAAGCATGGGGTGATGGGGAGTTATCTTGCCCTGGAATCTCCACAAGACAAGCATGAAGTGATGGGGAGATATCTTGCCCTGGAATCTCCAGTAAGACAAGCATGGGGTGATGGGGAGTTATCTTGCCATGGAATCTCCACTAAGACAAGCATGGGGTGATGGGGAGATATCTTGCCCTGGAATCTCCAGTAAGACAAGCATTGGGTGATGGGGAGTTATCTTGCCCTGGAATCTCCACTAAGACAAGCATGAAGTGATGGGGAGATATCTTGCCCTTGAATCTCCAGTAAGACAAGCATGAAGTGATGGGGAGATATCTTGCCCTTGAATCTCCACTAAGACAAGCATGGGGTGATGGGGAGATATCTTGCCCTGGAATCTCCACTAAGACAAGCATGGGGTGATGGGGAGATATCTTGCCCTGGAATCTCCACTAAGACAAGCATGGGGTGATGGGGAGATATCTTGCCATGGAATCTCCAGTAAGACAAGCATGAAGTGATGGGGAGATATCTTGCCCTGGAATCTCCAGTAAGACAAGCATGGGGTGATGGGGAGTTATCTTGCCATGGAATCTCCACTAAGACAAGCATGGGGTGATGGGGAGATATCTTGCCATGGAATCTCCAGTAAGACAAGCATGAAGTGATGGGGAGATATCTTGCCCTGGAATCTCCAGTAAGACAAGCATGGGGTGATGGGGAGTTATCTTGCCATGGAATCTCCACTAAGACAAGCATGGGGTGATGGGGAGATATCTTGCCATGGAATCTCCAGTAAGACAAGCATGAAGTGATGGGGAGATATCTTGCCCTGGAATCTCCAGTAAGACAAGCATGGGGTGATGGGGAGTTATCTTGCCATGGAATCTCCACTAAGACAAGCATGGGGTGATGGGGAGATATCTTGCCCTGGAATCTCCAGTAAGACAAGCATTGGGTGATGGGGAGTTATCTTGCCCTGGAATCTCCACTAAGACAAGCATGAAGTGATGGGGAGATATCTTGCCCTTGAATCTCCAGTAAGACAAGCATGAAGTGATGGGGAGATATCTTGCCCTTGAATCTCCACTAAGACAAGCATGGGGTGATGGGGAGATATCTTGCCCTGGAATCTCCACTAAGACAAGCATGGGGTGATGGGGAGATATCTTGCCCTGGAATCTCCACTAAGACAAGCATGGGGTGATGGGGAGATATCTTGCCATGGAATCTCCAGTAAGACAAGCATGAAGTGATGGGGAGATATCTTGCCATGGAATCTCCACTAAGACAAGCATGGGGTGATGGGGAGATATCTTGCCATGGAATCTCCACTAAGACAAGCATGGGGTGATGGGGAGATATCTTGCCATACAATCTGTGAGTGGCAACTTCTATTCTCTCACTATCCCTGGACAAACCATCCTAAATCTACCACTCACTCACATCCTTCTCAGGCAGTGACACACTACCATGGTAGTCTACTCTCTTGCTATCCCTGGATAAACCTTCCTAACTCTACCACTCACCCACACCCTTCTCAGGCAGTGACATACTACCATGGTAGACTACTCTCTTGCTATCCCTGGATAAACCTTCCTAAATCTACCACTCACCCATTTCCTTCTCAAGCAGTGACACACTACCATGGTAGACTACTCTCTTGCTATCCCTGGATAAACCATCCTAACTCTACCACTCACCCACATCCTTCTCAGGCAGTGACACACTACCATGGTAGACTACTCTCTTGCTATCTCTGGACAAACTGTCCTCATCCATAGGAAAACAGAGCTCATCTAGCAGGAAGCTGCCTCGTCGCTTATGCAGGGCGGCTTGATCGGTCTTTGATATCCCACTCAAGAGCTGCCTTATATATCTGCACAAAAGACAAAAAGTGATGTGTAGTTTTTGAGTACTCATATGACACAAGATAGTATATCCCACAACTTGTACCCAAGAAAGTTGAGGTGCACATTATACCAAAGAAAACATAGTATTCACTACTCTTGTTACCTGTTGTATGTTAAGTACTGTTGAGTTTCCATCATGGAAGCAAATCTCCACTCATGTTTAAATCTTTTTATTCCTGTAATCAAACACTCCACACAAATAAACCTGTGTATTCGACACTGAAGATCCGGGGTAGAATAGGTCTTCAGCAACCCATGCTTGCTGCAAAGGCGACTATGCTTGTCGTAAAAGGCGACTAACAGGATTGGGTGGTCAGGCTCACTGACTTGGTTGATGCATGTATCATATCCCAGTTGTGTGGATTGATGCTCATGATGTCAATCACTGGAATGTCTGGTCCAGACTTGATTATTTACAGACTGCCATCATAAAGCTGGAATATTGCTGAGTGTGGCGTTAAACAACAAACATACAAACATAATGTTCATATCTTCAGTCAGTAGAGGTGTGTGGTATTATCAGTATTACCGGTACACAGGAACTTGAAATCCTAATGAATATGTATCACAATACATTCGGAAAAGTGCAGTATATTGCATTAGGCAATTATTTATTTTTGTTGTTGTTAGTTTACGGATTTACAGACATGACAAACAGCAAAATAACATTAAATGACTTTACTGACAATGTTTCAATATTCTAATGGAATAAAAAATTAACTGGAAAAATAATTAGATATGAAACATCATTTTCAAAACTCTAACTTAGACCTAAATAACAATATAGCAAAACAAATGAAAATTTCATGAATTGATGTGTGATGCTGCATCATAAGCAGCATCCCATGCTGTCAGGGTACACAATCATCCATGTCACCAAGTCTGATCATCTGGCAAATTTAGTCGCCTTTCAAAACAAGCACAGGTTGTTCGTAAGCTGTTTTCACCTGACTTCCAAACAGGGTCGTATGATGTTTATTGCCTGATGTGCTTACACAGTTTCACCAACAACAATTGAATGGTTTAGGAAATTGTAAGCACCGTTTTGACATTGATTGAGTGTAGGCTGAGAAAGTCATCCACTGCACTTTGGGGATTTCCTTGAGCTGCTTGCAACATGAATACTTACTGTGTAGGCACCAGTCTGGCATTGATTGAGTGTAGGCTGAGAAAGTCATCCACTGCACTTTGGGGATTTCCTTGAGCTGCTTGCAACATGAATACTTACTGTGTAGGCACCAGTCTGGCATTGATTGAGTGTAGGCTGAGAAAGTCATCCACTGCACTTTGGGGATTTCCTTGAGCTGCTTGCAACATGAATACTTACTGTGTAGGCACCAGTCTGGCATTGATTGACTGTAGGCTGAGAAAGTCATCCACTGCACTTTGGGGATTTCCTTGAGCTGCTTGCAACATGAATACTTACTGTGTAGGCACCAGTCTGGCATTGATTGACTGTAGGCTGAGAAAGTCATCCACTGCACTTTGGGGATTTCCTTGAGCTGCTTGCAACATGAATACTTACTGTGTAGGCACCAGTCTGGCATTGATTGACTGTAGGCTGAGAAAGTCATCCACTGCACTTTGGGGATTTCCTTGAGCTGCATGCAACATGAATACTTACTGTGTAGGCACCAGTCTGGCATTGATTGACTGTAGGCTGAGAAAGTCATCCACTGCACTTTGGGGATTTCCTTGAGTGAGTGAGTGAGTTAAAATTTAACGTTTCCTTGAGCTGCTTACAACATGAATACTTACTGTGTAGGCACCAGTCTGGCATTTATTGAGTGTAGGCTGAGAAAGTCATCCACTGCACTTTGGGGATTTCCTTGAGCTGCATGCAACATTCCTCTAAAGTACAGATAACATCCGCGAGGTTCAAGATCCCGGCATTCCTGAAGAATCAAATTTGAACTGATTACAAAAACATTTGGATGCACCTGATGGGGCCTCCTATATCAGGTTTGCCAGATTTTCAAGGACAGGATTTGTATCAAGAGTGGATTTGAATAAGATTGGACCAGACAAACAAGTGACTGAGAAGTATGAGCAACGATCCAAAACATTGGGACCAGTGAGAGCCTGAGAACCCAATCTCTTTAGTCGACTCTTTCGACAAGCAGAGGATACTGGGATCTTATTCTTCTCCAGAAACCTAATGGGAAAACAATTCTTTGAGTTAACATGGTTACAGGCGTCTGAGTTAAAGAGGTTTCACTGTCGTGCTTCAGCGACTTATCAAAAGAAGGATATATAAATGAATGAAAGAAAGAATGAAAGAAAGGATGAATGTTTACAATCACGTCACAATACTCGATGACCTAATTTGTGGAATTTTGTTGCAAGATCCATCGGCGAAACAATGCCATGTGACTTCAGCCTAGCAACAGGGTTGCTGAGGTCATCGAGTGTGGATAAGCTCCTAACAGTGATCTATAAACTCCACATGCAATGTCGTTAAATAAGCCAAGGGATGTTGAGAGCTTTCAATATTTGTACGAGAGTACATAAGCACGCGTTTTGGTATTACCCAATGTATAATACAGCTGTATGTTTATTAAACGCTTGATCTCTTTACGGGCAAGTAAATAAATAAATAAATAAATAAATAAATAAATAAAAAAAATAAAAAAATAAAATTAAAAAAAAATAATAAAAAAATAATAAAAATATAAGATATATTATTTTGTAATGTTATTTCCATACCACAAGCAAATGCAGCAGCTGAAATTGACTAGCTTAACTACACAGTGGATCATCTCAGTAAACTTGTATGTTTCTTCCTATCAGATTTCAGTAGCTTCTACAGAATAGGCGGATGTCAAACTTCACTTACTGTTGAAGTGTTCTGTTGTACTTATTTGATGTTTGTATGTAGTTTGACAATATTAACTCAGCAATATTCCATCTATAAGATGGTGGTCTGTAAATACTTGAATCTGGACCAGACAATCCAGTGACTGACATCATGAACATCGACCTACACAATTGGGAGACAATGACATGCATCAACCAAGTCAGAGAGCCCGACCACCCGATCACATTAACTGCCTCTTATAACAATCATGGTGACTGAAGATTAATTCTCATCAGGATGTTCACGGGAGCTTTGAATTATTGGTAAGGTGGCTGAAAAATAATAATGTATGGAAATTACAGCTTGCCTAGCACCAGTATGGCAGCCTGATCCTTTGCCAATATGAAAACACCCATGAAATAAATTGATTTATAGGCATTACCCATAAAATAACATGTAAATATCATGCAAAACAGGAAAATATCCATTTGCTGACACGTTATTCAGAAATGTGGTCAATCATGTTAATAAAAAATGATGGTCCATATATATATGTTCGAAGGACTTCTTAGCAGTGTGTGACACTATTGTAACTGTTGCTACACTTTGGAAGGGAACAAGATATTGCAGTTGGGACAGACACAGACACACACAGACACACACAGACACACACACACACACATACACACACACACACACACACAGAACAGACATCCTGATCAGCAGTGTGTATAAAATAATGAGGGTCATTGCGTTAAGTACTGAATTAACATGCCCCGATTTCTCGAAACAAACTTAACAATTCTCGGTGTCGTTGATAAATGTATTATGTAAACTTGAATTGTGTTGTACAAATTGTCTGATTGGGAATTGTTTTACCAGCGTTGGAAATTGGCACTATTCCTATAGTCCTTGCCAAACTGACCAATAGTTAAAGTATCAAAAAGGACCAGTTTGCTCTATGTTATCATTATTATAAGGACTAGCGGATGAAAACTGTTAGTTTCTACCACTGTTCACCTGGCAACTATTTAGATAGTAATATGTACACGAATAAAATGATCTTGACATGCATACATTGAAGTTTACTGAAGCTTTATCTTCAATAAAACATATAAAAGTCAGAAGGAGTGCGTGCATAGTCAGAAAGAAATCCAAACATTAGTGACTTGTAGTGTTACCATGGTGAGAATTTTTGTCATTAAACAATATATCACATGACTAAACACGGGTCTGGGTAGTACTGTGGGTACTTGGGTCCTTCTCAGTACCCACCCGACCCAAGCACCCGAGTTACCCGTCCCAGCCTTAATGCATAAGTACAATAAATTCAAACAAAATCTTGCATGTTAAATAGTGTCAATATTAATGCACTTGGGGATTGGTTTACTCAAATTGCAATGTGATCAGGTCAAGTCAACCATTATATGAGGCATCCCAGTCAATGCATTTCTGTTAGAAGTGAAAAATAAACATGATAAATGTTTGTTTGTTTGTTTGTTTGTTTATTTGTTGTTTAACGCAGCATTTAGCAATATTCCAGCTATATGACAGCGGTCTGTAAATAATTGAGTCTGAACCAGACAATCCAGTGACTGACATCATGAACATTGATCCACACAATTGGGATACACTGACACGCATCAACCAAGCCAGCAAGCCTGCCCACCCGCTCCCGTTAGTCGCTTCTTACGTCAAGCATAGTCGCCTTTTATGGCAAGCATGGGTTGCTGAAGACCTCTTCTACCCCAGAGCTTCACGGGTCGTAAATGTTCCTGTTCAAATTGCACAGATGACATCATGAGGTCTGATCAATAATCAATATTTTGCACAAACAGCTTCACTTTCCATGCCGTGGGTTTCTCATGCAGTGACAAAAGTTTACAGTGATCATGCCATGCCCCAGAGATTCATCTGGGATACCAAACTAAGAGACTATGGTAGACAAATTGGGAAAAGAATAATTATTTTGTTTAAAATTGGGCTCTTTTAGTGTTCTGTTGTTATCATGTTGTTTAAAAATTCAGAGGATTCTTAACAATGTACTTTCATATTGCCTTCAGTATGGTTTTATGCCGCTTTTAGCAAAATAACAATGGGGGACGCCATAATGGTCTTAAAACATTGTACCCATGTGGTGATTGAACCAGGGTCTTTCGTGTGAGGAGCGAACGATAACCACTAGGGTACCCCACCGCCCTTCATCAAAAGTCCTGTTATTAGTGAATACATGTCATCTCTAACGATCCATGACATTAGTTGTACTGCATTAGTACAAACTGTGAAATGCTTAATTCCACATTTGCTGAAGACTTGGGGCCAAATATTTAACGCTTTAACCACTAGGCTACCCGACCGCCCCGCTACATGTTCTGATTAATGTTAACTGACCAGCCTGGGACCTCTGACCCTTCTGACCATGCTAACGTTACTGCCCCGTTACAAACGAGGTCACCAGCTCCCTGACCCATTAAGTCGAGTCTTACGACAAGCAGCAATAGATTTCTGGAGACCAATTCTACCCTGGAATTCCTACTGACTCTTACCAGAAAGCTCCTGTTCCTATCAGAAAGTTTTCATACAAGTCTCAAAGTTAACATTCCTTATATAAAGGTGTCTGCTAACTGAAATAAGTGAGTGAGTATCATTTTACACTGCTTTTAGCAATATTCCAGCAATATCACGGGAGGGACACCAGAAATAGCCTTCACACATTGTACCCATGTCAGGAATCGAACCCAGGTCCTCGAGGTGACAAGCGAAGGCTTTAACCACTAGGCTACCAGACTGCCCCTAACTGAAGATATGATACTAAAGGTGTGTTATAAAACATGTCTCTATCACACAGGTTTGCACAAAGGCTGACATTTTGTTGATTAATCCTAACTTCCCTCTGGCAAGAAGTATAATCTAATCGTAGAAGTATAGTCTAATCTAAAAGCAAGAAAATAACAGTGAGTTGCAAGTGCTGTCAAACACGTGGCTATGACAATGCAGGGCACACATACCTGGCAAACTAGCTTCTACATGGAGGAATGGCTCTCAAGCAATTTATATTTGACTTGCCCGACATACTTACTTAATGGCTGAAGAGGCGAAAATGAAAGTAAAATAACACAGTTAGCATGGCTAGAGGGAATGAATGTTGTTTTATGCCACGGTCAGCAATATTCCACTTGAAACACTGTGGACTGAAAGGAATGAGTGAGTGAGTGAGTTGTGTTTAACACTGCTTTTAACATTATTCCAGTAATATCATGGCGTGCCAGCTTAATGTGGGAGGAAAGCCCGAACTGATGCAGGTCTCAGACGTTTACCACTTCAGTGAAACCCACGAGTACGGGTATGCTGCTGACAAATCTAGAAACATAATTGGGTGAACCGGGATTCGAACCCACAATCATAGGTTTCTGGCATGTCCAAGGGGCGCAACTCCGCACAGCGAATCGCGGCGCCTTAGACGACTGGGCCACCCGTGCCCCCTTGAAAGGAATGAATCTGAGCCAGGAGAACCAATGATTGATAGCATATGCACTGAGCCATGCCAGGTCAGCAAAATCTCAGTCTACTGAGACTGAGGAGAGCAGCTGTAAATAATGACTACAAAGGTGTTCGCATTACATGTAAACACAAAAACAGCCCCATCCTTACCTTTTCCTGAGTGCCCCGAAACTTTCCCCTCAGAAACATGTGTCACGAACCCTTTCACCCAATCAGGTGACAGTTAACTCCACACATGCCCAATAGGGGCGACTATTGGTCTGGAAATCACTATTGCGATAACTATTGATATCGAAAGAAACTATTGCGATAACTATTGATATTTCAAGCAACTATTGTGATAAATATCGATAGTTTTCAGCGTATCATTTTAGATGGATTTTAGAGTTGAATTAAACCATGGAACTGAAGTTTCCTTTAAATGTGATAACCATAACAAAGTTTGAGATGTGACTAATTTGTTTTTTCTTTACCCTTATAATTTAAGAAAAAGAAACTTCCACATTACCATGTGTAAATTACTACCACTCATGATCAAAAGAAAAATAAATTTGAACAGCAATGCATGTATTTTATTGATATATGGTAAATACAATCGAAACGTTAAATTATAACTCACTCACACTCTAAAAAAATGGCGACACCTAGTAAAGACGATCTCATCGATAATAAAGATCTCTATTGTAATAAAACGAGTCTTACGGTGCATCAAATCACGTGGGCACCTTGATTAAAAACATTTTTGCACGGCAGTTTAAGAAACCAGATGTGATTTTGTTACCTGATTTTGATTGGACTATGCATAGACTGACTTGTTAGTCCAGCCAAAATAAACTCCATAATTCCAGCCTAGTTTGGCAAGGGTGGAAACTGGACTTTATAGCCAGTTAACGCCCTTGCCTCAGGAAGATGGCACTGAGGCAGCTTAGCAAGAGTCCTCACCATGCTTACCCGGATGTCCTTGAATATGGTATAGGTAAAATATTCAAAAGGAATCTAACGTAATATAAAGGAATATACTTGCTTTTCATTTGATTACCGGTACATTAATACACACATACATACGACTTTTTATTTGATTACACATAAATATGTCCGAAAATATTTTAGTGAGTTCTGAGAACAGTATTTAATGCTTGATGTTGAAGTAAAGCCTTAAGTGATGCTTGAAACCCAACAGCCCAGTTATAGGTTTGACAAACCTCGGAACATGATCAGTGTGAATCTGGGATTCGAACCTATGAGCATAGTGTACCCGTAACACCTACCTGAATAGTGGGACAAAATTACATGTCCAACAAGTCTCTATCATGTGATTGCTAATAACTGTTGTTGAATTCCATGAGTGATATTAATGATACCATTTTGGTTAGATACAAATGACTGCTTCTGCACTAGCTGAAAAGGAGGTGTCAGACATGATTTGATTTAAGGTCTAAGTACGAATATAAGTGACATAAATCATAAGATTTACTTACTGTATACTGAATTACTCACTGAAACATGAACAAATCTTTACAAGTTGGCCTAAAATGACATTTAAAGTAACAATAACTGGATTGCAATTGTAAAGGTAAGGCAAAAACTTAAAAGAGGTTTCAGGAAGAAGCTGAATACGTAATATTAATTGATTTATGGGAATAAGTGAATTTCAAGGGTATGTGAGGATCAAATATAAACATGGTCAAGAAAACATATAATTTGTTTGTTGTTTGTTGTTTAATGCTGCACTCAGCAATATTCCAGCTATATGATGGCGGTCTGTAAATAATCGAGTGTGAATCCAGTGATTAATATCATGAGCAAGTCTGGACCAGACAATCCAGTGATTGACAACATGGACAACGATCTACACAATTGGGATACGATGACATGCATCAACCAAGTCAGCGAGCCTGACCACCCAATCCCGTAAGTTGTCTCTTACGACAAGCATGGGAAAACATAAATATTTGTGTACATGATCCACATATTGTGTTGCACGTGACATGCTATGTCTCACCTCCAGGGTCTTGGACAGGTAGACAATACTGGCTCGGAGGAAGGAGAGGGCATCACTTGTGAGCACCGGCAATCGGAAGGTCTGGTACTCCTTCTCAAGATCAGCTGACGGACACATGGAGATGGACACTTGTTTACGCAGGGGCTTCTTTCTGTAAAGCAAGATTATTCAACTGCATTGAAGTCTTCCAGTTATATCATGGCTTGTCAGCTTGATGTGGAATGAAAACCAAATACTGAATTACTCACTGAAACATGAACAAATCTTTACAAGTTGGCCTAAAATGACATTTAAAGTAACAATAACTGGATTGCAATTGTAAAGGTAAGGCAAAAACTTAAAAGAGGTTTCAGGGAGAAGCTGAATACGTAATATTAATTGATTTATGGGAATAAGTGAATTTCAAGGGTATGTGAGGATCAAATATAAACATGGTCAAGAAAACATATAATTTGTTTGTTGTTTGTTGTTTAACGCCGCACTCAGAAATATTCCAGCTATATGGTGGCAGTCTGTAAATAATAGTCTGGACCAGACAATCTAGTGATTGACATCATGAGCATCGATCCATGCAATTTGGATACGATGACATGCATCAACCAACTAAGTGAGCCTTACCACCTGATCCTGTTACAAGCATCGTCACCTTTCACGGCAAGCATGGGTTGCTGAAGACCAATTCTACCCCAGATCTTCACAGGTGAAAACAAAAGTGATGCAGGTTGCAGAAGCACTTCTGGTGTGGTGCTGACAAAGCAAGGCATTTCTGTGGTGGATCTTACAATGGAATGTGGACAACCGTACTGAATAATTTCTATATACAGACAAGTCCTGTTAAGCCAACATGGTTGGTTGCATATGATTATGTCTGATAAATGAAATTATTTCATTTTGCTAGTCAGTCAAAGTTTGTGAAAAGGTCGTTCTGATGTGACCTGTAATGGGATGTCCTCAGTGGTAGCGAGAACTTGTATCTGGTTATAATGAGACTGAGGTAATCTAAGCATGTGATTAATCCTGTTTTGTTTATATTAAAGCATTAATTGTTTATTGTTAAGCAAGTTTATCTCTGCAGCCATTGTAAAATGCAACTACTAGCCGACTCGTCTCTCATCATAACATGGGGCTGTTTACTCGCGTACCACGGAGTACGCTGATCACTGTGTCAGATTAATGAGGACTGATTAATGAGTGATTTCAGTAAATTGTTGCAAATTAGGTGTGTCGGAGTAGGAGTGTGAGAATGTCGAATTAACAGGTCTAAATACCACTTATTTAATCGGTTCCCAGTGTCGAATAAAGCCAATTGTTGGACTAACAAGTGTCTGATTAATGGGTAAGTGAGTGAGTTTGGTTTAACGCCGCTTTTAACAGTATTCCAGTTTTTCGCGGCATGTCAGCTTAATGTGGGAGGAAAGCCCGAAGTGATGCAGGTCTCAGACCTTTATCACTTCGGTGAAACCCGCGAGCACAGGTATGGTGCTGACAAACCTGGAGACATAATCAGGGCGAACCAGGATTCGAACCCACAATCATAGGTTTCTGGCATGCCCAAGGGGCGCAACTCTGCACAGCGAATCGCGGCACCTTAGACGACTGGGCCACTCGTGCCCCCTCTGAATAAGCAGACTTGACTGTAGATGTCACCAACATAATAGCGATTTAAAAGATCCCAAAACTAGAAGAGTGAGTGAGTGAGTGAGTTGGGTTTGACGCCGCCTTTAACAGTATTCCAGTTATATCACGACATGTCAGCTTTATGTGGGAGGAAAGCCCGAACTTATGCAGGTCTTAGACATCTACCACTTCGGTGAAACCCACCAGCACGGGTATGGTGCTGACAAACATAAAAACATAATCGGGGCGAACTGGGATTTGAACCCACAATCATAGGTTTCTCTGCACAGCAAATCGCGGCGCCTTAGACGACTGGGCCACCCGTGCCCCCTAAAACTAGAACAGACAGAATCTGATGACAATCTCATTAAAATCAGATCTTAGAGCTTACTACAGCTACAGAAAGATCTGAGGACATCCCATTACAGGTAACGTCAAAACAACCTCTTCATCTGACCAATCAGGCGTCGCTTACGAGATCATAAAAGTGAATATTCAAGTTTGAGACGAGACTTTTCATATCACATGGGAAATACTGCCACACAATCTTGACCATCTATTAGATATTCCAGAATTTTTTTCAGTTTCAAATTTTGAATCGAGAATTTTCTCATTTTGAAAACTAATGATGTACAGCTTGAGAAAGCTGTCTCTGATAAGCTAATGTCGACTTCCTGTTAGTCATTGCATTGGTCGGTCAAAGTTTGCGAAAGGTTGTTCTGTAATTTGATGTCCTCAGAAGATCTATTATTTTAATGAGCTTGCATCCATTGATGACTACATTATCTCCTGTTCAAAACATCCTCTAAACTAATCATCCTCAACTAAATATCCTCTCTCTTAGCTCAAGAAACTCACATGTGTTGTACGTCTTAATACCTTGTAGCCATATTTGTAGAGCTGTCTAAGAGGCCTCCAACCTTTTTAAATTGAGGCCGTGTCTTCGCTTCATAATCTGACCAAAAATCCTGCTTCTCCTTCAGCCTTTCTGAGAGGAAGTTTTTGAACATGTCAGTTTGGAGAACCTGCAATAACGGAAAATAAGAAAGTTGTGTCACACTGCATATCATGTGCTTATAAGTCAAATATTCCTTCTCATACTTCCTGTATATCTTCAGAATGCTGGGTGAGTGAGTGAGTTGGGTTTAACGCTGCTTTTAACAGTATTCCAGTCATATCACGGCGTGTCAGCTTAATGTGGGAGAAAAGCCCGAAGTGATGCAGGTCTCAGATGTTTACCACTTCGGTGAAACCCACGAGCACGGGTATGGTGCTGATAAACCTAGAAACATAATCGGGGCAAACCGGGATTCGAACCCACAATCATAGGTTTCTGGCATGCCTAAGGGACGCAACTCTGCACAGCGAATCGCGGCGCCTTAGACGACTGGGCCACCCGTGCCCCCTCAGAATGCTGGAAGACACTGATAAGCATACCAATAGACAACACAGATGTGAGTATAGGCTATAGACATGCCTGTCAATGCACTGACATTAAATACTAACAACCTCTACCCTACACTGATCCCGACTGGGGGCGCAGGTACCCCGCCCTTTTCAAAACATACTGAACATTCACACATTCAGAATCTTTAAGGTGATTGGATGTTCTCAGAGTAAACAACACTACACCTAATCCATTTGGTGACATATTTTCAACTAAACTAAACTAAATTACTTAACTAAAATTGCCAAATCAGCACCCCTTCAGTTCCAAATACATGTACATGTAGTTATTTTCTATTTCTACTGGCCATGGGCCGAGGTTCTGGCATATAACGGTAAGTGACTCATAGTGAGTGAGTGAGTGAGTGAGTGAGTGAGTGAGTGAGTGAGTGAGTGAGTTTGGTTTTATGCCACTTTAGCAATATTCCAGCAATATCACGGCGGGGGACAACAGAAATGGGCTTCACACATTGTACCCATGTTGGGATTCGAACCTGGGTCTTCGGCATGACGAGCGAACGCTTTAACCACTAGGCTACCCGACCGCTATAAGTGACTCATAGACACACGTAAGGATCCCAAAGACCAAACGCATGAGCATTAGGGATTCTTCAAGGACATCTTATCTTTAGGGTCCTTTAAAGGCAAAAAAGTTCAGTCATGTCAACTTTTAATTAAGATATGTTAATACTTAATACCAATATGACTCAATATACTGTTGATACCTCATCATTTGTATGATGTATGTCACTGTTAGACAAAATACAATATGTCAAAATACATTTTAAACAACACAAACTGGTAATACAAATTTATTTGAGAAAGGGTGAGTGAGTTTGGTTCAACACCCCTTTTAACAGTATTCCAGTTATATCATGGCTTGTCAGCTTAATGTGGGAGGAAAGCCCGAAGTGATGCAGGTCTCAGACTTTTACCACTTTGGTGAAACCCACAAGCAAGGGTATGGTACTGACAAACCAAAAAACATAATCAAGTTGACCCGGGATTCAATCCCACAATCATAGGTTTCTGGGACACAACTCTGCACAGCGAACTGCAGCGCGTGAGTCAACTTGGCCAACGTATCCCCTTTGAGTAAGGGAGTGGGTGAAAATGGTTTGACACACAACTTGTAACAATGTTTAAGAAATATTCCAGCAATATCACAGCAGGGTAGCAGAAATGGGCTTCAACTAGGCTATCCCTCTACCCAATGTGTGAGAATGTGGAGTGGTTACTATATTACCTTATCATAGAATGGCTTGTCTGCCTCAGCAACTGTTTCCTTGAAGGCTTCAACATTAAACTTGCACAGATCCAACTTGAGTTCAGGAATCACTCCCCTGAATAGAACAATGATCAAGTATATTCTAATATTCTAATTTAATAATTTATGAATATTACAAGAACAGTACAGTGGGAATTTAAACAGACTAATATCAATTATTATTTAAAGGTGGGAAACAATATCATATACTAATATTTGGAAGAATTATCAAACTTCGAACACCATTAGCTGTTAGTGGCTGTTTATTGAAGCGGTTGTGAAATAGAGTGATCTCCCTTAGTTGTTTACAGTCCAAGTTCAATGCCAGAGCTTGACACTTTCCTACGTGGTAGAGAGCTCTGGTATAGAGAGGTCTGCTGTGAGGAATTGCTTACAGTACAGGTGTCAATTCACCACCTCATCTGAGACGCTTCACGAAATAACAGTTTCTAGAAGGCCGACTGTATAGGAGCAAGATGAATGCGACAGGCAAGGGTGTTAACTGACTATAAAGTCCAATTTCCACCCTTTGCCAAACCAGGCTGGAATAATGGAGTTATAATTTGGCTGGACTAACAAGTCTATGCATAGTCCAATCAAAATTGTGTAACGAAATCGAAATCCGGTTTGTCAACAGCCGTGCAGTTTTCAGCCGATTGCCAGATTTGCAAAGCATGTGTACCGCTAACTCGGCATCAGCAGATATTTTCCAAATCATTTCATGTTTTTAATCAAGGTACTCACGTGATCACAGAGAAGAGACCCGTTTTATTACAATATAGATTATCTATCGATCAGATCATCTTGAGTGGGTGCCGCCACTTTGTTTGAAGCAAATGCAAGTGATATGAGGGGTGGAATCTGAATGGTCAATAGGAGGGATTGGAGGGACATAACTTGTAATAACCCCTGGTGGCGCTATGGTTGAGCCCAGAAATTCCAGCCTAGTTAGGCAATGGTGGAAACCAGACTTTTACAGTTAGTTAACGCCTTTGCCTCAGGAAGATGCCTGGATTCAAGAATGGAGCATGTACTTCATGAGTGCACTGACTTGCGTAATAAGGCCTGTTCCTTATTGTTGCTGCAGCATATTTGTCCCACTGCGTTGCCTTTCATGACTGTAAGCCAAATCTTGTATGTTTCAATATAATTTGTTCGTGATTCGTTGATCTTTTGTGGTTACTTATTGATTTTACAATCTAGTTCTGTATGACTCGGTTTCTGGATTAACCTTCGCATATCAATTTGAGTTTCAACACGTAACAATACCAGTACTCGGTATTACAGATAAATAAATTTAATACTGTTGTCCTCACTATGACGTATAATCACAGCTCACAGTGATCTTTATTTTTCAAAAATACTTTTTGCACCATTTGAAGAGAAAATCATTAGTCTCATTTGTAGGTCTGTACGTGTGTATTGGCCCAAAAATTGGATTGCATTATATTACAAGCATCTGTATTGCGATACATATTGCTATATATCGGCTGCTAAAGCGGTTGACAGTGATTGAGATTGATTGTACCGGTACATGCTGATCCTATTTTCAACATACTAAAGTAAATAGTACTCAACATGATCAACTGCCGCCATTTGTTGTCATGGATACAGGGGAGATAACAACATGTGAAAAAAAATCACTTCACGTTTCTGCTGTTGTGTCACTAAGGTTTGAAAGGAAACATCATTTGTGAATGAATTTCAGTGCAGATTTTAGGCTAAACAGTACAAATAATAACAAAACTTGTCATATTTTTCCCAAAACATATCCCAATAGATAATGTTTGAAAAGGGTATTGCAGCATACCAGTAATACCATGCTGACTTGGCACATTTATCTGTTTAATACCTGAAGAGGTTGACCATGAGTTCGAGGAAGGCATGAGTTATCTGCTTGTTGAGCAGGTGCATCTTCCGGGATCTGTACTTCCTCTCCTCATTCAGGTTGTAGCTGAAGGGTCTGGGCAGAAACAAGGTCCAGTTCAGACAAACACAGTAAGTTCTTGCAAATATATTTTATTTTTGTCAACATCAAGAATCCTGTTGGGGCAAACCGATTAAACAATGGAAGAAATGAGCTGCAGAATTCAGAATTAACTACAGTAAACTACAGTTATAACAAACTCAAAGGAACCAGTAATTTTAATTCGTTATAACCGTCAGTTTGTTATAAGCGTGTTCGTTATAACCATAGTTAACTGTACTGTAGTTTTAGAGGACACTGTGACAAAAGACAATGGATAATTTTGATAATTTCACGACAATGTATTAATATACTGAAAAAAAAAAGGTTGGGGATCATTAATATTTTCGGGGATATATATCTGAAATTGCGTCTCACTATAAACATATATCCTTGAAAATATATTCATGGTCCTAACTATTTGTGTTCAGTATATTTCAAAGACAAAGTGTGTCAAAATTTCAACTATGGAAGCTCATTCTCATATTCATACTTTAATTCTAATGAAATGATGGATGATATCATGAGAATATCATAATGTTTCAAGCAATATTTTCATGGCAAAATATCTGCCAAATTTTCTCATGATTGTCCCAATGAAACATCATCCAGTGCATAGCGACGTTTAACTGATTATAACTGGCCAACACTCCTCGATAACAATTAAATGCTAAGGCACTCACATTTGTCATGGAAAGTTGGCCCCAAGTAATCTAGTGTGCTGGGAAACCCAACATGACTCAACCAGGGCGGCATCCTGCTTTGACCTACCTCTGCACATCGTTGAGGTCTGTTTGGTAGCGAAGATCCTTGGCCTTTTTCCTGAAGAACAGTGCAGGGTCAACTGGTACATCAGGGATAGTCTTCTCAACACCTCCATTGTCTGAGGGTTCTGGGTTGATCTTTACTGTTCCCTCATCAATGTTGACAACCACTAGTCCCTCCACCTGCAAACATGGAGGAAGAAATCGTTCTAACTAGTTCTTTAATTATAAGGAGAAGCTGTTCACTTGACCCACTCCACCTAGGCTCTAAAATTACCCACCTGCCTAACCCCCAGATTATAGCTGTATCATCACCACCTCCATCAAGGTACCCACATGATCCGCCATGTCCAGGTGCTTGCTGTCACATCAATGTACCCGCCTGATCCACCACGCCCAGGTGCTTGCTGTGACATCAATGTACCAACCTTGATCCACCATCTCAAGGTGCTTGCTGTGACATCATCAAGGTACCCACCTGATCCACCACCTGCAGGTGCCTGCTGTGATATCATCAAGGTACCCACCTGATCCACCACCTGCAGGTGCTTGATGTGACATCATCAAGGTACTCACCTGATCCACCACCTGCAGGTGCCTGCTGTGATATCATCAAGGTACCCACCTGATCCACCACCTGCAGGTGCCTGCTGTGATATTATCAAGGTACCCACCTGATCAACCCACCACCTCCAGGTGCTTGCTGTGACATTATAAAGGTACTCACCTGATCCACCACATCCAGGTGCCTGCTGTGATATCACTAAGGTACTCACCTGATCCACCACCTACAGGTGCCTGCTGTGATATCACTAAGGTACCCATCTGATCCACCACCTGCAGGTGCCAGCTGTGGTATCATCAAGGTACTCACCTGATCCACCACCTGCAGGTGTCTGCTGTGGTATCATCAAGGTACCCATCTGAGCCACCACCTGCAGGTGCCTGCTGTGGTATCATCAAAGTACTCACCTGATGCACCACCTACAGGTGCCTGCTGTGATATCACTAAGGTACCCATCTGATCCACCACCTACAGGTGCCAGCTGTGACATTATCAAGGTACCCACCTGATCCACCACCTCCAGGTGCCTGCTGTGATATCATCAAGGTACTCACCTGATCCACCACCTGCAGGTGCCAGCTGTGACATTATCAAGGTACCCATCTGAGCCACCACCTGCAGGTGCCTGCTGTGACATCATCAAGGTACCCACCTGATCCACCACCTCAAGGTGCTTGCTGTGACATCATCAAGGTACCCACCTGATCCACCACCTGCAGTAGCCTGCTGTGACATCATCAAGGTACTCACCTGACCCACCACGTCCAGGTGCCTGCTGTGACATCATCAAGGTACTCACCTGATCCACCACCTACAGGTGCCTGCTGTGATATCACTAAGGTACCCATCTGATCCACCACCTGCAGGTGCCTGCTGTGGTATCATCAAAGTACTCACCTGATCCACCACCTGCAGGTGCCTGCTGTGATATCATCAAGGTACCCATCTGATCCACCACCTGCAGGTGCCTGCTGTGATATTATCAAGGTACCCACCTGATCCACCACCTCCAGGTGCCTGCTGTGATATCATCAAGGTACTCACCTGATCCACCACCTGCAGGTGCCAGCTGTGACATTATCAAGGTACTCACCTGATCCACCACCTGCAGGTGCTTGATGTGACATAATCAAGGTACCAACCTGATCCACCACCTGCAGGTGCCTGCTGTGGTATCATCAAGGTACCCACCTGATCCACCACCTGCAGGTGCCTGCTGTGATATCATCAAGGTACCCACCTGATCCACCACCTGCAGGTGCTTCCTGTCACATCAATGTACCCACCTGATCCACCACCTACAGGTGCCAGCTGTGACATTATCAAGGTACCCACCTGATCCACCACCTCCAGGTGCCCTCTGTGATATCATCAAGGTACCCACCTGATCCACCACCTCCAGGTGCCTGCTGTGACATCATCAAGGTACCCACCTGATCCACCACCTGCAGGTGCCTGCTGTGATATCATCAAGGTACCCACCTGATCCACCACCTGCAGGTGCTTGCAGTGACATTATCAAGGTACCCACCTGATCCACCACCTCCAGGTGCTTGCTGTTACATCCCATCATGAAGGTACCTGGGGCTTCCAGTAGCTCTAAGGAAGATATGGAAAGGATCGGGGCGTATGTGAACCTCCAGGAGAACGGCAGAATAAAGTTGAGGAAGCTCTAAAGACACATTTATCACAAATACACTCAAAGGCAAACATAACTATCATCATATTTTCATAATGAGATAATTTCTCATTTTGAAGATACAAAATGTTCAGGTGGGATGAAGGTGGACTCACAACAGACTTTTTTTTAAGACTTTTAATTGTTAATTACAAGAAAATACACATTAATGTTTTTGTTTCGAGTAAAAATTAACACTTATACTTATCCCGACTCATACTAATTGCTTCTCTCATATCATTTCCGAAAGGTAGTAGAAACTTCCTGTACTGGATTCCCAGAGAACAGAAAAACGGCTCACCCGAACACACCCTTGGGCTGTGCAGGTGAGCTGGAAGCACGTGACCATTGTCACTCTCTCATTTCCCTTACCTATCAGTTGAAACACACATCGGGTAGATGAGGGGAAGGTTGGGTGGGTGCTCTCTCGTATGAGTCAGGATAAGAATAAATGACATTTTTACTCCAAAAAGAAGATATTTTACCTTATCCTGACTCATACTAATCCCATGGAAAGGTGGTGGGTTCCACCAGAGTGCGTGGTTCAGATTGAGATCTGTTCATGAAACCCATGCGAATGTGATAATCTTATTTCTTCTTACATCATAGTGGGGTACCACCTCCTCCTTAGTGAGTGAGTGAGTTTGGCTGAACGCCGCTTTTAACAGTATTCCAGTTATATCACGGTGTGTGAGCTTAATGTGGGAGGAAAGCCCGAAGTGATGCAGGTCTCAGAAGTTTACCACTTCGGTGAAACACACAGCACGGGTATGGTGCTGACAAACCTAGAAACATAATCGGGGCAAACCGGGATTCAAAACCACATTCATAGGTTTCTGGCGTACTCAAGGGATGCAACTCTCCAATCCAATCTCCAGCAGCAACCTTCCATAATCGTCGGATCAGAGCAGTTCCAGTGAAGTTCTAGGGTAGACATTATAGCTTTGACCTGAAGTGGGCTGGACGCTGATGACGGATCCAGACCTGCTGCCTTGTAGGCTCTGAGAACGACTGCTCTCGTCAAGACTGAGATGGTTGACCTGGAGACTTCTGCTGAAGTATTCCTAGATAAAGGAATAAACAGTCTTCTTACTTTCTGTCTTCTGGAGCATGTCCTCTGCAGGCATATGCGTAACGCTCTGACTGGGCATTATGACACACTTCTGTGTCCTCTGCTCCAAGAATGGATCAGAGTGTAGGGACATGAAATTGTCTGTCTGGTTGTCCAGGTAGATGATTCTGGCAATAAAATCCCATCTCAGACCGAGTTGAGCCCATGCATGTCTGCCACTGTCGAATCTTGTACGGTGACATTAATCGCATGTATCTCCGACATCCTGGCTACCGAGGCTAAGGCCAGTAGAAATAACATCTTCTGGGTCAGATGTTCAAAATCAGCTTGTGGTAGAGGATCATAAGCATCACATTCAGATCCAAAGCTGGAGCTCTTAATTTATTTTCTTGATCTTCAAGCCTGTATGATCTCAATAAGGCTATTAATTCTGGAACTTTGGTGAGCTCGATTCCATCACACATGGTTAAAACAGGGCTTCTAGCTGCTAGGTAGGTGCCTAATGTTGAACTTTTGAGATTCCTTATGCTTCTTAGGTGACAAAGGAACTCTGCTACTCGAGGTGAAGTGGCTTTACCTGCTGTGAACTGGTCAAAACTCTTCCATTTATCATCATAAAGACTTCTCGTGGATCTACAAAATGCTTGGGATACTGCCTTGGCTGCTCTGGTTGAGTATCCTCTTCTAGCATGTTTAGTGAGGTTGAATCTGATATGTTTCATACGTGAAGAGTGTAGAGGTCCGGTCTTGGAGGAACTTGTTTGTATGAGGATGAAGAAGAAGATTTGGGAGTTTAAGGTTGGTTTCCCTGCTAATGCGACGAGCTCTGGAAACCAAGTTCTTGTCGGGCAAAAAGCCGCGACCAAAATCAGTAGTAGGTTCTTGGTGTGCATGATCCTTTGTAATATCAGGTGTCAGTGCTGATGGTAGGAACGTATATGCATGAAGTCCCTCCCATGATATTGCCAGTGCGTCGTTGGCCCAAGCCTGAGGATTCAGTTCTGGTGAGACGAAGGTTGCAAAAAGATCCACCGATGGGCAACCACCTTCCCTTGTTGCCAGTTGGAATGCTTCCAGGTGGAGCATCCATTCTGCTGGTGATGGTTTGGGTGGCCTTGACAGGGCGACTGCTAATACGTTTGACACTCCTGGGATGTATCTTGCCTTTATTCTTAGGTTGAGACTGTCTGTGAGATTGTACAGTTGAAATGTTAATCTCAAAAGGGCTTCAGATCTTGTTGTTCCTTGGAGATTTATGTAGAAGGCCACAGTTGAATTGTCTGTTATTATCATCACAAACTTGCCTTTCAACTGAGGTGCCCAACGGGCTATAGCTCGGATTTCTGCCTCAAATTCGAGATGGCTTCCCTTCCGCTGACCATAGCCCTGATGCTACTTCTGAGTTGAGGTAAGCGCCTCATTCTTGTATAGAGGCATCAAAGAACACATGTAATCTAGCTTGTTCAAAGAGTTGCTCCACAGGCGTTCAACTTGATTTTCCCCCAATGAAGATATTTCTTCAGTTGTTGCGGTAGTCAAAGTCTGAGATCTGACTGATCTATGAATGGTCTTAGGAATCCCTGAATGGGACAAGTTAATGTCAACGCTTCGACGGAGGTGAGTAGTCCTAATATCACGTGCCACTGGTCAACTGAAGTCTGTTGATGTCTAACTGCTGGAAGATAGGTTTGAATCTTTATCCACTGATCTTCTGGTACTTGAATCAGATTCTGCTTCGAAAGAAATCTGATCACAAGGAACTAGAGGTGAAGTGAAATTGGGTTTAACATCGTGTCCAAGATTATTACACTTATATAGCGACGTGCATGTACGTGTGCGTGTTTGTGTGGCTGCTTGTACTAGTCTGGACTGATGCCAGTTTATAGTGCTAGCTCACTGAGATACAATGCTGCAGTTTTAACATGAATACCCCACTCAGACACAGTATACTGACTCCGAGCCGACCAGTCCTTGTTTTAGCCCCTTAATGCAGAGCGCCAGACAGGGTAACAGCAGGTACCATCTTTTAACGTCTTTTGGTATGACGCGGCCGAGGACCGAACCCCGGACGCCCAACCACTAGACAACGGAGGCGGTCCACAATGAACTAGAGGTCCTGGGATGGTTGAAGGTCTGACTTCTGATAAGTGTGAAACCAAACTAGTTGGTTAATAATTTCAGGTTGTAGTTCAGAAACTACATCTTCTCTCTGTAATGGAGTTTTGAGGAATGCAGTCCGAACATATGGGGTGAGGGTCTCGATCTGACCCGCACAGTATTTACAGTACATGATTTCATAGTGAAAACAGATGTAACATTCAAGTCCAAAACATGAAAAATGTACGCCAAAGACAAAAAAAAAATTAGTTAGATATGATACATAAGGCTAGAAGAATGTAATCCGAGCAAAACAATTATGCAAAAGTAATAATCTTGACAGGATGGCACTGATTACGGATTACAGGAAACCTTTCTACTACTCAGGTGGCACGAAAATGAGAGAGTGATCGGTCCTGGTCATGTGCGTCCAGTGCACCTGCATGGCACAGGGATTTGTTCGAGTGAGTCTCCGGAAACACAGTACAAGACGTTTCCACTACCTTTCAGAAATGAGATGAGATAAGCAATCAGTATTTGTCAGCATAAGGTAAAATGATCAAATTCAATATCAACTACGCTATTACCGTATTTTCTTGAGTATAGTGTGCACTTTTTTTCCAAAAAACACAGCTGTGTAGAAGGGGGTGCGCATTATACACAAATTATGAGTTTTTATGTTTTTTCCCCCCATGGAAAGACATTACCGTGAGCACGTAACACCGGAAAATACCATGTCAACAAATCCATACTGAAGTACGCAAATTATTCATGTAATTACACTGTCTGGCTATAAAAAGTGTTCTTTGTATATCTGGACTTATGTTTGTAACTTATTTCATTAATTATATTCAAAATTCCTTTTAATATTGTTATAATTAATTTCGGCGAAATCGTGTGTGAAGCGATCGGAAGATCGCACAACTCACCGTTATTAACAGCAACCACGGTCAGATTACCGCTATTGACGCCTTGAAACGAACTTTAGTTGACAGAGAATGGATACATATATCATAAATGCCATACTTTGAATCGTTAAAAGTCATATTTGTTTTTGTTGGACGATTCTATGTCAACACGTAATTCTCGCAATCACTTGCACGGGAGCCTTGACGGTGAATGGTCAGACTGGTTCCATGTAAAAAATGTTACCCGGCAATAGCGATCCGCTGCTTCGCTTAGGGTTATTATTATTTTAAATATGTTTAGTAAAAGCTGCATCTAAATTAACAAGATATTGGAATATATTATTCCTGATAAAAAAAAAGTTTCAGATACAATTTTTGCCGATCCTTGCATTAAAAATACTGTAAAGTTATATCATTGGGTGTGTCTTGACCGAATCACCGGTAGATTCCAAGAAAACGTGTGTACAGCTGATTGCTGTGTCCGGCTTAGTTTACGAGAAAATACACAAGGTAATCTTAATCCCTGGATATAAAACAATGCCTAGTAGAACAAAAACCACAATTTAAACGGTAAATCAACATGTCTGGTGATTTTTTATCTCAAATTTCGAATTTGTACTGACAATGTTTCTCATCACCCGTTCGTTTGCCGGACTTCGCTGAAGGGGTACGGTGTAAAAAAATTTCTGCGCATAATATTCAAATTTCTTTTTTTCCAAAATATTGAATCCGCTAGAGGGGGGTGCGCATTATACATGGGTGGGCACTATACTCAAGAAAATACGGTACTGTTTTTCACTCAAGTTATAGTGAATGGGAGAGATGTGCACCAGGCTGATAAGAAAGGGTGTGACGGATCCTCACCTCAGTCTGCATTAAAAGCATCCAACTCATGCCAGAACAAGGGCATTGACATGCTGTGATTTGGGGGGGGATACTCTTTTTGTAGTGAAGACTGAGCACACAATTTCTTATAAATATAAAACGAAATATAGATATGTGCAGCAGGCAGATAGGAAAGGGTGTGACCGATCCTCACCTCAGTCTGCAGTAAAAGCATGTAACTCCCAGAACAAGGGCATTGACATGCTGTGATGTAAATGATATACCTATCAAAGTAGCATCAAGTCACCACACGCAACAGAAGATACTGAACAAAAAAGTCAGGGATCACAAATATTTTGGGGAGATATTCTTTCTTTGTAGTGACGGCTGAGCACGCAATTTCATAAAAATGCCCTGAAAAATATTCATGATCTTCAATTGTTTTTGTTCCATATACGTACAGTAGTGTGAATGAGGGTACAAGTTGTGCTGTAGACTTAGCTTACCTCCATGATGACTGCCAGGAGGCCATACCTGGAGGACACGAACACAACCCGCTCCTCAGTGAGGATGCTGGTGAAGATCTTGAGGATGTTGTCTATGGAGAAGGCAAGGAAGACGAGGTACAGGGGGATGTCGATGACTGGCGTGTCAGCCCAGTCAGAGGGGTACAGGATCATCTGCATCTGGAAGACCGGGAGCGTCAGGATCTGCAAGATGGGTGGTCTCATTATGTTCACTTCCACAGAAGAACAAGAGAGTGAAGACTGGTGTTTTGATAATATCACAGAACCCCAAAATAATAAAGGACAAGTTGGTATGATTCTAAAAGAAAAAACAATATTTCTAATATCAGGGTCTGTATGGTGTTCATGATGAAGCGAGATCAAAAAGACTGATGGTTTAACTATGTTAGGTCTAGAAGAAGAGGATTTAGATTCTTTCTAACCCACTCACTCACTTAATCACATATATTAGTGGAAAGGGGTTATTTGAAAGTCAATTTAAACTCATTTAAATCAGATCTTTGCTCTTGCTACCACTAAACAAAGATCCAGGGAAAGCCCACTTCGGGTCACGTCAGAATGACCTTTCGCAAACTTTGATCAGATCTATATGAAAAGACCAACAAGATGTTGACGTTAGCCAAACAGCAAGCAGGTTTCTTGAGCAATACGGCACTAGTTTCAAACTGGCGACTTCCATTCCAGACTTCACTTAGAAAAATATTTTTTTTACTAATTTCTCTATCCAAAATTTGAAAACTGAACGAAAGAACATTCTGGAATGTCTAATAGATGGCCTAGATTGTATGGCAGTAGTGTCATGGTCTAAGCAGAGCCTCTTCTGTTCATTGAAGTGTGAGATAGATGACGATTTTGACAGAATCAGATGTACAGCCCATAATTGTCGTATGGAATATACATATTAACCTCTTCAAGGATGCATGACACATTTCAAATGTCACTTTCCTGAGCTGGTAAGCAACACTCTGGTTGGTTGGATGGAAGGTCGTTCTGACGTGACCCTAACGCGATGTCCTCAGATCTTTGTTTAGCTTCAGCGAGCCCTAAGATCTGATTATAATGAGATTGTCTGAAAGTGGACATGTCTTCTTGACTCACCAGGGGGATTCACATCGGAATTGTTCTCCAGGAACAAATGCATGTAAATGAGGTGACGTAATAAATGGGTGGTCAGGCTTTGGTGACACTGTATCAGTGTACCCCACCGGCATGGATTGTTGCTCATAATATCAATCACTGTTTTGTCTGGCACAGACTTGATTATTTACAGACGATCGTCACATAGCCGGAGTTCTGCATTTAATGACAAACAAACAAACGAAGAAACAAACTCACCACAGAGACATTTCCAGGTGGAGGAACGGGGGTCAGCGTGAGGATGTAGGTGAACTCCTTCATATAGGAAAACATTCCTTCTGTTTCACGCTCTATATTATCCACCATACTGAAAAAAAACAGCAGTTGGATAACATGGCAGTTCCTCCTGCACTTATTCTATACAACGTCATTGCTATTTTTATCAAATGTGGTGCTCTTTATGAGTTATTAAAATTGGTAACCCTTCTAATAATCCAAGACATACATGAACGAACAACTTTTGCTGAGCAATACATGATCTCATTCATACACACACATGACATTCTGGCCTATACTTCAATTACATTCATAAGGCCACACTTACATATTTTATGTTGCATGGATTTATTCCAGTTTTTCCACATAAGGTTGGGTTGAAATAAAAATGAAAATAAATGTCAATTATTTATTTACTTATCATGTTTATATGAAATTCATTCTGCCAGGGAGTTGAAACTGCAGATGGCCTCTAGAATCACTTATACAGTAGACATGGAATTTATATAAAATTATAACATTTTATAATGTATAAGAGGATCTATATTACTAGCGGGAGAAATAATAATAATAATGATGATGATGATGATGATGATGATGATGATACAAAAAATAATATTAATAAAAATAATATTATAATAATAAAAAAAAAGTTTAATTCATTTCTTAGACCAACTGCTTTTCAGATGGGGTGGTGGACCTGTGAAACAAAAAATAAAAAATTGTGTGGCCTAATGCACCAATTCATCCATCTGAAATTACCATGAGAGACATTCCTTCATGGAGTAGAAGTAGGGGTACTTCGAGATGAGGATGCAGCACTGTGGGAGATACGCTCGCGTCTTGCTGTTACTCAGGCATGTCTTCTTTGTCTCAAGACTCATGTTTAGATTCTCAGAATCTTCCTGAAAAAAAAACCACATGGATTTTCATTATAGTAGACAAAAACAAACAGATTTGAATCATTCAGATTATTTTACCATTATAAATGAGTGACCAAAGTTACCATACTTGGCATCTCGTTTTACACTTCGTCAAAGCTATAAAACACACCGCAGTGAATGAAGCAAGCTAACAACGATCAATAACATCCATAACAGGATTTTCAAACCAATACTGAGATATCATGTGTTCAAGGCAGAAGTGAGCAGGTAAAGGTTTGAGTCTCTACAGAAGAGCTGCTTCACCCTCCAATTGGTAATCATTTGGGGGAATCAGAGTTCTGAAAGTATAGACAGAGGAATGATGTTCCAGTATATTTATTCAGTATGTACAAGATGTGATGTATGATTCTGCTGAAGAGGGTAGATTGTATCGTCACCTGCGCTGATGAGCCTCTGTCTACTGCTGTGCCAGGACCAACAGACCGAACTGGTGAATGCCTTGAACATCGGTGACAGAGATGTCACATTAATAGTGGAGTTTCCTGTCACTTAAGTGAGTGAGTGAGTATGGTTTTACGCCGCTTTTAGCAATATTCCAGCAATATCACGGCGGGGGACACCAGAAATGGGTTTCACACATTGTACCCATGTCGGGAATCGAACCCGGGTCTTCGGCGTGACGAGCGAACGCTTTAACCACTAGGCTACCCGACCGCCCCCCTGTCACTTAAGGACCAGAGCCCTGCCACCTAAAGATCTACGAGGTGAGCCCCCCAGCCTACAGCGATGGCATTGATGAAAAAGTTACAGGTTGGGATGAATGGCTTCAAAGAGCATCCGTCGCAGACAGTCAATCTCTGTAGCCACCACTGGAGATGCTGATGTAGTGACAAAAGGAACCTGACAGTTGTCATCTTGGAGGTAGGGCAGTAAAGTAGTCAGAGTTGGGTGAGTGCTTGTGCCGACTTCAAGAGACCTAGCAGCTGCTGCTATTGGCTAATGGGTTAAGCCTATTTGAGTGCTAACAGCACTAAACATAGTATCTTTGACCATCTGTCCAGGGGATGAACATCTTGCACAGCTCGGGTTTGAAGAGAGCTCCTATAAACTGAAAATGCTGAGTGGGAGTTGCCTTGGAATTCGTTAAATTGATGAGCCTGGCTGTAAAAGTAGCTTCTGTGTGAACTGTAAGTGCTTCACTGATGTGCAGGAACTGTGTGATCGGCTTCGCAAAATGGGTGAAAAGCAACATGGGCATAGTAATTATTCCAAACAAGAGCACCTTCCATTGGTAGTGAAGGTCATGGAAAATGAACTGGACTTGGAAGGCAACTTTATGATGGATGTAGGTAAGGGTTGACTACTTGGAGGATCATCCTAGTAAGCACATACACGGGTTGGAGTATGCAATGTTGATCTGCTTCAGGACCGTTGATCCTGACATTTATCAACAGGACAGATGCCCCGAGGGTGTGAGGAATGTCGATGTCTATGTTGGTGTCACTCCATTGCAGCTGGTAGTGTATATCGGTACTAGTCTGACAAAGGGTGGGAATTCGGTTATGGCAGGTATCAATGACTATCTGCGAAATGGCTAGGAGATGTATAAGGATAGAATAGTACATGTCGATACTAATCCATTGGGCAAAGGTATCAATGCCAGTCCCAGCTGAGATGTCGATTCCTGTAGTCGATATGTCAATGTCGATCTTGAGATGTCGAGATGTATGTTGCTGCGAATCCGAATCCAATGATCGAGATCTATCCTTGAGTCGATAGTGGTCCAAATGTTGACAGCCTGAAGATTCGGGTCAACCTCACACTTGAGTGTAGAAGTGATCACAAAGTCGATATCAAATCGTCAGTGTTGATCCCTCTGACATTGTTTATCTCTCTGTGACTGCTCAGACTGCTTGGATTGATGTCGCTTCTTAAAAGGATGTTTTTTATCAATCTCAGAAGAGTGGGTTCGATCTCGGATCTTCTGTCCTTGTGGTGACAGGAGGTAGAGAATGATACATCATCGACTTCCTCAGGTGGTGGCTCTTGCAGAGGCGTCCGGGATAATACTGTAGTCAGTGACGGGTCGGCAACTTCGGCAACCACCTGAACATCCCGTTGGGGAGAAAGGGATGACTGGCTGGGGGTCAGAAAACACAGGGAGGGTTGTCGGTAGCGATTGTCGAAACTACAAGGGGGCGAGGGGGGTTTGGTGCTTTCCTTGGTCAGTATGGTACGCTGATCTACCGCAGTAGGGCGAGTGTCCACCAGAGTATCAATTTGGACCAGTCGTCATCATAGTTTTTGTTGGTGCCTCCTCATGCAGGAAAGAATCGGAGTCAACATCATCTTCTACTGTGAGAGATGTGACAGTAGACGCAGGAGGTTGTTTGACGACTGCAACTTTGGGCTGAACGGCCGATTTAGTATCTCTATTCACCTTTTTCGATGAAGTGTCCCCTTATTAAGAATGCTGGTCGACCGTGTGTTTCTGACACTTGTGTATGTAATGTTGAAAAGCTTCCTCCAATAACTGGGAACATTGAGAGCAACAGTGAGATGGCTTGCAACGACCTCGGCAACCACAACATAGGTGTGCGGATCATATGATGTAAAACAACAACAACATTCTGTACAAGCCTGGCGTTCGCCTTTTTCCATTCCAATATTCTGCCGAAAAAATGATGTAGTTGTAGGAGGTTGTGTAATGCTGCTATGCACGGGATTACAATACCATGGTGATGCTGGGATGTGTTCGGGTGAAATGTTTTTTGAAGCTGGAAACTTTGTTTTAGCGCGTTTTAGATTGAAAGAAGAAGAAATGCATAGTTTGAGATAGGATAGTTTAAAAATTGACATCATAAGCATCAATCCACTAGTCGCCTCTTACGACGAGCGAGCCTTGTCCCTTGTTTCACTAATGTACATCAAGTCGTGTTACCTTCTCCAAGATATATGGCTTGTAGAAGGTGAGACATGTAGCAAAAGTCTTGTTGCCAAACAGATCCGTGAAGACAAGGAAATGGACAGAGTTTTCAGGCTTGTGTCTGTACACTTTGGCGTTTTCTGACGACAAAATAAGAATTGTCATTTAACTTTAACACTTTTTAAAGTATAACACTCAAAATAAGTTAAGGAACATATTACTGTAGTCATGGCATGGCATGGCATGGCATGACAGATTAACTATGGTAAATGAAAGAATCAGGCGTTCTTCCATTTCTTTTGAGTAGCATTACTTATAGTAAACAACACCATGATATCATTAGTCTGATCGCCAATCAATCACCATGGGTCACCACTTCCAGGCCATAAGAAAGAAATAACAACTATGCAAGTCTTAGAGGTTCTCTCTTTGGAGTGACTTGATCCATGCAATATAACAGTGAGTGAGTGAATGTGGTTTGATGCCGCTTTTAGCAATATTCCAGCAATATTACGGCGGGGAACACCAGACATGGGCTTCACACATTGTACCAATGTCGGGATTCGAAACCCGGGCCTTCGGCGTGACGAGGTAACGCTTTAACCACTAGGCTACCCGACCATCCCTGCAATATATTAAGAATTGTCTTGGTGGTTAAGTTTCATTCTGTCACAACAGAACCTTATCACTATGTCATTATATGCACTTTTTCAATTTAATGGGTATCACTTATTTTATTTTTATTAGAGACACATTAACATATAATTTTGTCTGTGTATGTGATATGACCTTGAGAAAGGTCAAATATTTTTAGTAGTTATTATGAATCAGTGAAAACATCTTCATCTTGCATCCATATAATCTGTTGCATACCCTGAGAAACAGCAGTTGCTAACATGGCTAAGGCCAACTTCTTATGGATATTTGTATGTAAATGCACATGATTGCATGTTCATAAATATTCAATTCTAGTGGCCACAAATAACAAATTCAATTCATGAATGGATACAGTTCTATTCACCGAATACGCGAGTGAATCGTAACAGCCCTTATATGCATCCTTAATTATGGGAAATTAAAATCTGGAAAAATATATCTGTCATATATAAACATTTCAGGCTGTAAGTATAAACAACAAAATTTATGATCTTTTAACTGTTGTTTTTCACCAAAATAATATTCTAATAAGAGCCCCCAATTTCTAATTTTGAGAGCGCCCTGGGCGCCTATTATGTCAAATACGGTAATTACTATTTTACCTGGAAAACAGAACACAGGAACAGAACGAATAACTTCTTCTGACAAGGGCAGGTTGGTCATTGTGACTGAGCGATAATTGACAGTATGAGTCCGTCGAAAGTGCCTCTTGAGAAGAGGAGTGTTGGTGGGACTGAAGCGACAAGTGCGATCCTCACGTACACTCTTGGAACGTGATGGGAGACTCAAGTGTTCTCCTGATCCGTCCAGTGAATTGCCTGTAGAACCACAAGTGACAGGAGGGTAGTTGGGATCCTCTTTCAGGAATGGCTGGAAGTGTGTGGCTTTACTTGAGGATACTGCAGCAATGACCTGTGGCTCATAGTCCTGGTGGAACAGGTTGATGAGGAGGCTGTCACTATTTTGCTGATATAAGACATTATAAAGTTACATTTTATGCTATCATGTCCATTATATACTGACATCAGACAGAAACACATTCCAAATATATATTGTAAATCTCAGTTATTTAAGCATATATATAAGCTCAGGCAAACTAACTGATTTACTTCAATGCTGTAAATATATTGAAGAGGCTATTGTATTACGTTCATCCCATTTGTAATACTTGTTTAATGTTGCACAATATGTATATTCTATATGTCAATATTTATTTGCACATGGGCCTGTGGCCTTTATACTGAATAAAGAAATTGAAATTGAAATAAGATGCCAGATATTAAAACATCACCGTAAAAAAATTTCATCTTTTCATCTCACAATATCTTTTCATTTCACTTTACTTTGTTTTTTAAAACAGAACTTTAAAGGTTTATTATGTGTGATTTTATTGCTGTATGTCAAGTTATTTACTGATATACCTTATTGTTTTTATTATCCTATTTTCCATACCAAATAATCCCTTATTTAAACATGTTAAATACTATTGCATGCAACAAAATATCTTAATTGCACATAATGTGGTCATCTTTAACATGTTTAAAGGCTCTTGGTTAAGTGTGGTGTATGTACATTAGGGCTGCAACAAATACACTATGAGGCAAATACGATTTGTATCATGAATATAGGGTAACGAATACGAATATTTATTCACGAATACAATAACAAGTCAGCAGTTGATGTATTATTTATGATATTCAGTGAAACAATAACAAAATAAATTATTTGACATGGTTTGTTAATTATTAATTTATTATACATTTATTTAACATTTATTTACTGCACTTATCCAGGTGCTAGTATCTGCTTAAATGTGACAGTGACCAGTGACTATAATATTGTCAAATTAAATATAAAAGAGTGTTGTCTTTGAAGAAATCTATGCACATAATATGTTCTTATGGATATTTTATGGGTCACGGTATGTAAATGCACATGACTGCATATTCATAAATATTCGATTCTAGTGTCCACGAATAACGAATTCAATTCATGAATGGATATGATTTGATTCACTGAATACGCGAGTGAATCGTAACAGCCCTAATGTACATAAAGCTCTTTTACACTAAAGAAACTGGTAATTATTTCACATGGACAAATAAATAATTACAACGCAATTTACTTATCTTGACCATGATCAACGTTGATCAACACAGAATGAATAAATGAACATCATCATGATCATGTTTAACATGTCTAAGGTCAGCTTCAAATTTGTATATTTTTGGGAAAACTCAACAACAACAAAAAGATTAAGTTATCAAGTACTTTGATTAGAACATCAAGTATATCCAAAATATGAATATTCTGGAGCTACATATTTTTGAAGAACATATTCACATAGACATACTTCTACATCTTTGTCCGCTGGAACGAGTCCTGTGTTTTCATCAATGCCAACAACGATCATCACTTCCACAAATCTATTGTAGAGGTTGTAGGCACAGCCGGTATCATCCATATCTTTAAGTGCAGCCATGTTTTATTTTTGCTGGCTGGTACCGTTATCGTCGAGGCTGATGTCACTCAGTGATAGAATCCTACTGTCAGATTCATGTTGTCTTTGAAACAATGTGTTGAGAAACAATTGCAGCAATGCATGAGCATCCCACGATCTTCTTCACATGCAACCTACTGGAAAAAAAATATTAAACATTTTATAATGCATGTTGATATAAAACTTGGTACCTAGTTTCGTTTTTGAAGACTATTATTATGACTACGATGACAGGACACATTAAACAATTATCAATGATCATAAATATAAGTTTTAAAGGAAATTCCTTTAAATTACTAACTATAATGAAATAGCTGTATATCGTTACACAATCATCAATGACAGTAGAACAGATCAATGGCTACGAGACATGAGTAGAGAAATGAAATTTGAATAAAATGAATAATCCCAAATTTATTTTTCAAAGTCGCTTTACTTGTCCAGCTACTTTGAACTGAAAAATTTTAATCTCAAGAGCTACTGTCGTTCTCCCCACTTTCAGTATGTGCTTCCCTGACACGTTTTGTATTTACAGTTGAGCTCAAGTATTCCTTTCAGCTTTGGCTTACCCTTGCACCCAGTCACGAGACTTGCATTAGAGTTATCTGCCCATGAATAAGCTTAATGCACTCATGAATGATTTCAATAATGTTTTCAAAATACGTGCTTCATAAACTACAGAACTATATTAGATCTGTTTAACACACTCTACAGAAATGAATATATGTCAATAATAAGTCGACAAAACAATAATAATACTAAATATTATTTAACAAGTACAGATCATCACGCTAGAAACAAAATGGCGGCAAAAATGAAACGACGGAAATTCTTGTGGTTGTTTGTTGTAACAATATCGATTTTGTTTGTGTTCCTGGTTCTGTACTTAAAGCATAAACTAGGTAAGGTATCAACGAAGTCACGTGCGTATAATGTGTTTAATCAGAGACAACAATATTGAAATGTTTGGGCTGTTAAACGCTGGTAATGCCAGTGCGACGAAACCCTCCCAAAAATCAATTTTCTTGTTGAGTGGTGCTAGAGGTATGTTCATGAAGAGTGTCAGCTTGATCACATGCACCTTTGATGATCAGCATCGTGGTTACATGCAATTGCACACCAGCGGCTCCAATATCCGCTGCAGCTTGGCATTTGTCGAGTGAACTGACATAAACACGACATGCACTTTGTCATGTTTGCAGAATAAATCCTTGGTATGCTGAATCGTTTACATTGTGATAAAAGAGAAAAATGCATGTTAACATTTTAGTTCAATAGATGATATGAACAGTTGTTAACTGGAGATTGGAACGCCACCCGACTTGCATAAACATGCTATATTCTGCTTAATGTCGCAATATTCGGCCGAACTAACCTGATGATATTTTACCGTGATTAAGCTGCCAAGTTTATAGTGCTGTATATTAGTTTTCACCACCCTAATTTAACTCCCGTGGTTTATAAAGGAGCACAAGGCTCGGGCTTCTGCCCCTGCTATCTAACACTGTTCACCGTGGCTCTTAAGCTGCCATGAGTTATTTTGTTGGCTTTTGTGGCTGTGTGTGACAACAGACTGGGCTACCGTCTGTAGTGACTTTGAGACATTTCTGTATTTCAGAGAGCTATTTAACACAGGTTCTATTATTATTTCTAAATTACAATGAGCATTGGATGGATGATGAGATGGATGAAATTGTTCCTGGTCCCTTTTCTGTATATCATACATTGATATTTGCATCTATCTTCAAACCTAAAATATGAAAAATAAACATACCATTTGACAGCTCCTAGGCCATTAAACGAAACTAGTGGTGTAACGATACATCTCACTATCGATTGATTGCGATTGCTTGTCTCACGATAGTACCCTATCGCTTGCAACATGAAACAATCGATACTATTGGCGATAGTTTCTCTACCTATCGATAGTTTTGATAGTTAATTTGTTTGGTACATTTACTTTCTTAAAAAACATAGAAACAACTCCTATGATCATCTAACCTTTGTCGTGCTTTCGTTTGGATTGCACTACTTTGTCTGCTTGATTTAGAGTTACCTACCTTAGCTACTCGTCGCTAGGCAACATTGACAAGATGGCGGACGCCACATGTCAGTTTGAAATTGTCGCCAATAAGGCAGGCAAATCGTGGGTATGGGACCATTTTGGCTTTGTCAAAACGAGACAGACAAGCAAAAAGTAAGTTGTATCTGTCAGATAATTCTAAAGTATTCAGGAAATACTACTAATCTGACCGACCACTTGACAAGACGGCACCCAGATATTTGTATTAAAATGTTTTTGAGAGATCAATTTGAACTTGTTTTCTTTTCATTTCTTGTTTTCTTTACAAATAGTATCAGAAAGTTATAATTATTTTGATGGTGTCAGTCAAAATGCTGAAACATATGCTGCTAAAAGCCTGCTATAATTGCAAGTGAAAACTATCGCAATAGTATCGCAATAGTAGGGCCACTATCGCAATAGTATCGCAATAGTTGTTTTAACTATCGCAATAGTATCGCAATAGTCAAAAATGCCTCAATAGTCACCTCTAAACGAAACCCCATTGTTTAACAGTAATATTCGTAACTATGTATTCATTGCTACATGTTGCTGTAGTACTTTGAAAGTTTGAGATATTGTTGGTTACTTGTGACCATCCACTCTTTTGTATGCCTAAAATGACACATGTGATCTTGATACTGATGAAAGTCACCTACAGCTTCTGTAGTATTTTGATATTTCAACATGTTCAATACATCGCTTGCAGAATTTATGGAAATTGAAAGATATGATTAGGAAATCCTATCTGACAATAACGCTGAGTATATTTTTTATGATCATGTAATGTAAATACATGAAATTTAAATAATAATTTTCTTCTATGAATATCATCATGATCATTGTCTATTTTCCTTTTTCATTAGCATTTTTAGATGTTGTGGACGAATGTTTAAACAAGATTAATTCTGGAATGAACTGTTTAAGTCAAAGTTTATTCTTAAAGTTCTATCTCCATCTACATACCAGACAAGGTCTGAAAAACAGTTATGTTGGGAAATGTCCGTGTGGGGAAATGCCTGAACCCCTTCTTGTTATGTGTGAACTATTAGGAAGCAGAATCTGCAATTTAACATGATACAATGTGAAGACAAACAATCATGACTAAAATGAGGAATTAACGTTTACTAAAACAAGGACATGAAGGATAGATTAGAGTCAACTTGAACTAGGTGGATGTATCACCATGGTAAAGAGATGCTGGTCCCACAACTGCAGGGTGTACCAGTTGAGGGCAAATACAAAAGATTCCTGTGTTTTCCAACTATTGTAAATTTTAAGAAGGAATGTTTTAACATGTGGTTAAATCATTTCCTTGGTAATGGTTTTGTGGTGAGTTCATATTTCAATTTGGTTTTAACATGTTTAAAGAAAATTACCTCAAATAAATTCCAGTCTCATCAAAATCAGATCTCAGTGATTGCTTTTTGTGTGGTAGCAAGCACTGTGATGTGATCTTAATGTGATTGTATAAATTCTTACAAGATTTTATTTTGGAGGCAGGAGTCTTGGTACATATAAATTTTGTTTGTACATAATTTATTTGTGCTTTCATGAAACGATGAATTGTATTCCAGGTCAGCTAGAATGCACAGCCAAAAAAGGCCCTCTACCTTTCCAGAAGTACCTCCTGATGCTGAAGAAGCTTATTTTCGGAACTGAGACAGAGGGCACTGACAAGAAATCACTGCTGTGTGGCAAAGACATTAATGAAGTGTGCATGCACATTCTCACAAGACAGTTACCTCAAGATGCCAAATACTATCTAGTAGAATTCTGGGAGAAGGATCCAGAGCTTCGTGAATTCGTATTTCGAATTCTGGTAGTGGTTGGATTAGTGTCCTTGACAATATTCTGCAACTTCTGCAGATGGATGACAGCAACTGAACTTCATTATGATGATGATTATGAAGAAAAGACAATCCAATCAAATCTCAATAAAAAAGCATCTGAGAACTCAAATTACAAGCCTTCAGCCAGCCAACGAATCTCAGATTTCAAGCAAGTTAATCATAATATATCACACTCTTTAGGGGACAGTTCAACGAGCTACCCATCAGCCAGGAGAGAGGAAGGGTGTCGGTCATGGAATGTGTGGAAGATTATGGGTGTCATATTGGCAGTCCTTACCATTCTGAGCATACCATGGGAGTTTATTAGACTTTATCAGAAAGAGGTATCTAAAAGGGCAGCGCAGGCATTGCAAGTAAGTTTTTTACTATGATTATTGTATATTAATGATGTTTTGTCAATATGTTGCCACAGTAACAATTTTGAGATCTTTTCTAAGTATATGTACAGAGGATGTGAAGTTAAACTTTCTTTTGGTGATCATATAGACATGTTCATGATGGTAGAACTGTGGGGCAGTCTTCTGTGGTGCTAATTAATAAATTTTCTTGTTCAGTGAGTGAGTTGGTTTTAACGTCGCTTTTAACAGTATTCCAGTTATATCATGGCGTGTCAGCTTAATGTGGGAGGAAAGCACAAAGTGATGCACGTCTTTACCGCTTCGGTGAAACCCATGAGCACGGATATGGTGCTGACAAACCTAGAAACATAATCAGGGCAAACCGGGATTCGAACCCACAATCAGGTTTCTGGCGTGTTCGAGGGATGCAACTCTGCACAGCGAAATCCAGCGCCTCAGACGATTGGGCCACGCATGCCCCCATTCTCTAGTCCAGAATGTAGACATCATATTATGATATTATAGAATAATGTATAGTCTTCAATCTTTTATTATTTGTATGACAAATGTGTATTAAAATATGTAAGAGAACAGCAGGAGAAAACATGCCATTTTGTAGAATTTTACCAATTCCACTGAGCCTGCAGGGTTACTGCCAGTACCTTTTTTTTGTTCTAATATGCTCAGCATGTGTGTCCATCTCTTAATCTCACTGTGCATTGGCTGCCTGATCATTCGTCTATCATTCTGTTGGCCTGGAGCATAACTCAGAATCTGTTTTACACAGTGAGTTAGTGAGCATGGTATTACGCCGCTTTTTGCAGTATTTCAGCAATATCACGGCGGGGGACACCAGAAATGGGCTTCACACATTGTACCCATGCTGGGAATCCAACAGGGTCTTCGGCGTGATGAGGTAACGCTTTAACCACTAGGCTACCCGACCGCCCCTGTTTTACACAGACTAATCTGCCATCTTTCTTGTGTGTTGTCTGTTGTCCATCACCCATTTGTCTTGTGTGTCTGTCTGCCTGCTAGCTTTCCACTTTCCACCAGGCTGAATGATGAACCAGATGCTTGAGCAGGATCTGTAGCATCATCATAAGCCTCCGAATTCCCCATGGTCATGATGGTGTGAGACATGGTAGAATCAACATTTTATTTGTTTATTTATTTGTTTGTTTGTTTGTTTGTTTGTTTGTTTGTTTGTTTGTTTGTTTGTTTATTTATTTATTTTGTGTGTGTATTTGGGAAGGGGGAGTGGAATTAAGTATGAGAGCTGAAAAGTAAAGGCTGTGTTACTTGGACTTGTTCATGCCATCAAAATCATTTGTTTTTGTGGAATAGTTGTATATAACACCTGGTGTCTTCTACTTCCATGTGATAAGTTAAACAAAAGGGTCGTCCCAATCTGGCTGTCAACTAGAAAATGATTTGAACAAGTCTCAGCGAGAATGTTTGTCAATACTACCCACCACATTTGTTGGTACATGTGGTACAGTAGAACATGGTCACAACAAACTATTTCAAAAGTCCTTATTGCTTTATTATATGTGACCAACCATGAGATCAGGGACCTTATGGGTGAAAAATCACATTTTGACTTCTTATATTTGAACACTACAGTATCTTAGGACCACAAAATACAATTCCTAAGCTTCAATTCATGTTTCTTACAGAGATACATGGCATCAAATATATGGATGCATTTTCTGCAAAGTCCCATTTTCAGACGTATAACTTTTTATGTAATGATTGCAGTATATAGATATGTTGTCTGATTAATTGAAAGTAGAAATGTATGATGAAATGTTTTGAAATAATGTTTTTATTACATTATGAACTAATGAAAGACAAATAAGATATTTTTGTACAGTTTCCACACATGGCAATTTATATGGAAGTAGTAGGGGGCACGGGTGGCCGAGTCGTCTAAGGCGCCACGATTTGCTGTGCAGAGTTGCGTCCCTTGGGCACACCAGAAACCTATGATTGTGGGTTCGAATCCTGGTTGGACCCCGATTATGTTTCTAGGTTTGTCAGCACCATACCCGTGCTACTGGGTTTCACCGAAGTGGTGAAGGTATGAGACCTGCATCACTTCAGACTTTCCTCCCACATTAAGCTGACACACCGTGATATAACTGGAATACTGTTAAAAGTGGCGTTAAACCCAACTCACTCACTAACTCACTTATATGGAAGTAAGCTGACGTCAATGTCAATTTAAATGACGTGACATCACAGTTGTATCCTAGCACCCATAAAGTCCCTTTTTCTCCCGGTAGGTCACATATATATTATCATGATTATATAGAATTTGCCTGAATAACAAATTCTGTATTATGAATTAACAGCTTTAGTGATTTTTCTTCCCAAACAGACTTAAAGCTCAATATGCATTTTCATGGGGAACAATCTGGTCAAACTCAATCAGAGTCAGTTAGCATCAACATTTTCAAAACTAACTGCAACCCTCTTGTACAGTAAACTAGGTTTATAACGAACAGCTTATAAGGAACTGATGGATATAACAAACTTTTTGTTGGGTCCTGGCCATTGCTGTATATTGTATCAAATGATATAAATGGCTATAATGAACATGCCTATTGACCTTTTTCACACTTTCGCCATCTTGGATCGAAAATGAGGCTTGGAGGGAACAGAGAGCATGTTGTGCATTTCACTGATGGACATTTCAAACAAAAAATGGTATCCTCTGTATCTAATACAGAAGATATTGCACAGCTGATAGAGAACAGAGAGAATGTTGTGCATATCACTGATCATGCTGATGGACATTTCAAACAAAAAATGGTATCCTCTGTATCTAATACAGAAGATATTGCACATTTTATCCTGAGGTCCAATTAAAATATGCCTGTAATACACTGGAATTCGCATTTTGCTGTAAGGATCCCGGAAGTGAATCGAAAGATGCATTTCGAGATACGTATTTCAGAAATAGGTTGTTTTATCATAACCTCTTTGGCATATGGGTACAATGTGATAGTATATTCAATGACAGAAGTTTTGTATCGTAAATGAACTGCATAGCATGAAACACGTCCGTGTATTAGTCAATGCGTGGCTTGGCGAACTCGAGATCGTCGATCATGTTTATTTCACGTTTCATAGTGGTGTTTGCTGCACCACGCACTATCGTTTTGCCATGAGTCCAGTTGACATAAGACACTTTTTCTGCTATGATTTTAATCTAAACATATTACGATGTAAATGAGATTAGTTCACAAAATAACCTGTGTGTCAAAATAAATATTCAAAAGGGGTGATAACTCTATTCATTGTGTACAATGACACTATTGACAGATAATACTTTAAAAACCCACTTATTTAACCAATTATTACCGATTAAGATTGCACCGTGCACGGCAAAAGTAATAATGTGTGGAATGTTTAAAATAAATTAAAATGAAACTTAAAATTAATAAATATAAATATTGCATGAAATAGAAGAAATAGAAAAATTGATACAAACACCAACTTCTTGAACACCCTGACCTAATCCTGTATGATGATAGGTAATTGTATACCTAAAGAAAGCTACTAATACATTTATCCTGAATAGTTTGAAAATGTCTTGTTCAGATATGAGTACAGATAAAATAACAAAAGATGAAAAGGAATCAACTTCAATTGGTGCTCAAGCCAAGATAAAATAAATGTACTGGTACAAATTATGTTGATGGAACAATCTGAGTTTCTCATTTTTAACAAAGAAAAACAAACCGAAATTTTCATGTCTTTATTTCTCACAATATAAGCTTGTTTTTCGTCCACTTCAGTTATTCAGACTTTTCAAAACTTATCATGGACCGGTGTCTTTGTCAGTCAAAAGCACCTAATTAAATTTCAGGAGTAAATAATTTTCTTGCTTGTAAACAAATGGTACAATGTGTTTTTTTAGTGTCTGATAAATATTGGCCAGGTTGTTTAGTGAGTGAATAAGGCTTATCACTTCCCTGTCCTATTTAAGTGAAATGTGACAGGAAGCACAAGTGTGTTACTGTCAGCAGACACCCATCAACAGATACTAGTACTTCATTGTGTTGACTCTCTGGACTCAAAGCCTGAAATGACCCGTGAAGATTCCGGGGTAGAATAGGTCTTCAGCAACCCATGCTTGCCGTAAAAGGCGACTATAATTGTCGTAAAAGGCGATTAACGGGATCGGGTGGTCAGGCTCGCTGACTTGGTTGATACATGTCATCGGTCCCAATTGCATGGATCGATGCTCATGATATTAATCACTGGATTGTCTGGTCCAGACTCGATTATTTACAGACCGCCGTCATATAGCTGGAATATTGCTGAGTGCGGCGTTAAACAACAAACCAACAAACCAACCAACCAACCAAAGCCTGAAATAAATAATTCAATAATATTGTAATAATATTTCTACTTCTATAACCTGATAACATTTTTTATAAACAATGCATATTCACCTTCTCTCAAAATATTGCTTATGTAGAGAACAACATTCTTCTGATATAGAGAAAATGAAGGAAACTTAATCACAGTGTCAACATTGCATACTACTTGAGAACAATCTTGAGGCATCAATTCATCTGATATGTCTAAAACTCAAACAGTATATTCTGTGTAAACAGTAAACACAACAGATGCATCAATTTAATGACTCTTTATATCAATGTCACACAGAAATTCACTCGTTTTAATGAAACGGGTTTTAATATTTGTATTATGTATCAGGTATTTAATCATGAAATACTTTGTTTAGTCTGACCATGCTGAAAACATACTTTTGCTAGAGTGAAATAAATAAGATTATCAGGTGAAATATCACGTTTTTGTCACACCTACAGTCAGTCTGCCTCATTGACACTATGGTTTTCTGAGTCAGGTCATGAAGATTACAAAGAAAATATAAGACTTGTATTTTGTTTTTTCAAATGAAATGTTTATCTCATCTTGTGGTTTACTAAAGTTAATATTTTGACTTGTGTCTGTGCCACTCATGAAAATATTGACTTTGTCAGATCACAAGATGAGTTAAATTCATGCAATCATCGTTATTTGACAAGGAAAACAAATTTCCTCTGTGTAATTTTTAATTTTTTTATTTCTTGTCTTGATTGAATTATCAAAATGATCACACCACTTGACTTGATTGAATAAACTAAAGTTCTAAAGATTGTTAACAATAGCAAAATATTACATCACCACAATATATTATTATAATTATTGCACACTGATACAGTATGCACAACTATCAACTTATATATAAATTGATATGATTGATATTCAAATATACATCACATGGCAATTGCTTGCACAAAAGAAATTATTTTGTTTTAAAAGTTTCAAAACATGTTTGTGGACATAAAACCAGATGGGTTTCACAATTAAACAAAGGGAATAAATGAGTTATGATTGCAATATGTTTGGGAATTAAAAATAATTCTGTTTATACTTTTAAGTTTACAATTGAAATCACAGCAGAAGGGCCAGACTCACTTGCTAAATTTATATCAATAAGGAGACCAGATAACAGTAGAATAGTTTGTCAATGACAAGAATAATGTTCAATAATTACGATAAATGTACTGTTGCCGTGATAGTACTGGAATGGTTAAATTGTCACAGTTTGTCCCGATTGCTTGCTTTGTTGACCAAAAAATGAAAAAATATGTACATAGGAGAAAATCGCTGTCAAAAACAGAACATTTTGCTCGATTTTTGCACATTTTTCTCCCAATTTGACCGTTTATTATTTTTCTTATGACATTTTTTTCATGTCATTCGATAACTAGTGGAATGATCAATAACTGTACTTAATTTTGTTTTATTATTTTCACAAATAACGCCTGTAGAGACATTTTTGTGCAACATGCAGAAATCCATGGTCCACTGACAGGCCGTCACGCATACGAGTGACCCCTCTCAGGTGGTCACTTGTACGCGAGACGGGAGAGCCGTCTCGCGTACACGTTACGTCCTCTACTGTTGACATCTCCATGTGTTTCATGTGCTCTCCAGCCTTCACCTTCTGCTCTCCAAGCCTCGCTTTCAAACCGGAAGTAGTGTAGTGTGAAAAAGGTCAATAACGAAGTAATGGCTTTTGCAAACTCACTTTGTGGTCCATTGGGTACTCTATCAATTTTTACCCTGAAGATCCGGGGTAGAATAGGTCTTCAGCAACCCAGGCCACTATGCTTGTCGTAAAAGGCTTGAATATTTACAGACCGCCGCCCTTTAGCTGGAATATTGCTGAGTGCAGCGTAAAACAGCAAACAGACTAATAGATGAACTGTGTGATACTGAAATCAGACTGGATGTATGTGTTTGCTTGCAGGGGTCGCCACCTGAATGTTTTCCAAGTGACATGTCAGTCTTTCAGAGTCTCAGGCTTTGGGTGAAAAGCCACTTCTCCTGGGACAAAAGCACTGATCCGTGTGAGAAGTATTACTACACTATGCTGGTGGATCCGCTGTGGGAGCTCACTCCTCTACTGGTAAGTCACTTTACTAGACCTACTGAGGGATCTCACTCCCCTCATGGTTAGTCACTTTACTGGACCCACTGTGGCATCTCACTCCCCTCATGGTTAGTCACTTTACTGGACCCACTGTGGGAGCTCACTCCTCTCATGGTTAGTCACTTTACTGGACTCATTGTGGAAGCTCACTCCTCTCATGGTTAGTCACTTTACTGGACTCATTGTGGAAGCTCACTCCTCTCATGGTAAGTCACTTTACTGGACTCATTGTGGGAGCTCACTCCTCTCATGGTAAGTCACTTTGCTGGACCCACTGTGCGAGCTCACTCCTCTCATGGTAAGTCCCTTTACTGGACCCACTGTGGTAGCGCATTCCTCTACTGGTAAGTCCCTTTACTGGACCCACTGTTGGAACTCACTCCTCTCATGGTTAGTCACTTGACTAGACCCACTGTGGGAGCTCACTCCCCTCATGGTAAGTCAATTCACTAGACCCACTGTGGGAGCTCACTCCTCTCATGGTTAGTCACTTTACTAGACCCACTGTGGGAGCTCACTCCTCTCATGGTAAGTCCCTTTACTGGACCCATTGTGGGAGCTCACTCCTCTCGTGGTTAGTCACTTAACTGGACCCACTGTGGGAGCTCACTCCCCTCATGATAAGTGACTTTACTAGACCCACTGTGCGAGCTCACCCCTTTCATGGTAAGTCACTTTACTAGACCTACTGAGGGATCTCACTCCTCTCATGGTAAGTCCCTTTACTGGACCCACTGTGGGAGCTAACTCCTCTCATGGTTAGTCACTTTACTGGACCCACTGTTGGAGCTCACTCCTCTCATGATAAGTCACTTTACTAGACCCACTGTGGGAGCTCACCCCTTTCATGGTAAGTCACTTTACTAGACCTACTGAGGGATCTCACTCCTCTCATGGTAAGTCCCTTTACTGGACCCATTGTGGGAGCTCAATCCTCTCATGGTTAGTCACTTTACTGGACCCACTGTTGGAGCTCACTCCTCTCATGATGTCACTTTTCTAGACCCACTGTACGAGCTCACCCCTTTCATGGTAAGTCACTTTACTAGACCCACTGTGGGAGCTCACTCCTCTCATGGTAAGTCCCTTTACTGGACCCATTGTGGGAGCTCACTCCTCTCGTGGTTAGTCACTTAACTGGACCCACTGTGGGAGCTCACTCCCCTCATGATAAGTGACTTTACTAGACCCACTGTGCGAGCTCACCCCTTTCATGGTAAGTCACTTTACTAGACCTACTGAGGGATCTCACTCCTCTCATGGTAAGTCCCTTTACTGGACCCACTGTGGGAGCTAACTCCTCTCATGGTTAGTCACTTTACTGGACCCACTGTTGGAGCTCACTCCTCTCATGATGTCACTTTACTAGACCCACTGTACGAGCTCACCCCTTTCATGGTAAGTCACTTTACTGGACCCACTGTGGGAGCTTAATCCTCTCACGGTAAATCACTTTACTAGACCCACTGTGGGAGCTTAATCCTCTCATTGTAAGTCACTTTACTAGACCCACTGTGGGAGCTCACTCCTCTCATGGTTAGTCACTTCACTAGACACACTGTGGGAGCTCACTCCCCTCATGGTTAGTCACTTCACTGGACCCACTGTGGGAGCTCACTCCTCTCATGGTAAGTCACTTTTTTAGACCCACTGTGCGAGCTCACCCCTTTCATGGTAAGTCACTTTACTTGACCCACTGTGGGAGCTCACTCCTCTCATGGTTAGTCCCTTTACTGGACCCACTGTGGGAGCTCACTCCTCTCATGGTTAGTCACTTTACTAGACCCACTGTGGGAGCTCACTCCTCTTCTGGTAAGTCCCTTTACTGGACCCACTGTGGGAGCTCACTCCTCTCATGGTAAGTCCCTTTACTGGACCCACTGTGGGAGCTCATTCCTTTACTGGTAAGTCCCTTTACTGGACCCACTGTTGGAACTCACTCCTCTCATGGTTAGTCACTTCACTAGACACACTGTGGGAGCTCACTCCCCTCATGGTTAGTCACTTTACTGGACCCAATGTGGGAGCTCACTCCTCTCATGATAAGTCACTTTACTAGACCCACTGTTGGAGCTCACCCCTTTCATGGTAAGTCACTTTACTAGACCTACTGAGGGATCTCACTCCTCTCATGGTAAGTCACTTGACTGGACCCACTGTGGGAGCTCACTCCTCTCATGGTTAGTCACTTGACTGGACCCACTGTGGGAGCTCACTCCTCTCATGGTAAGTCACTTTACTAGACCCACTGTGGGAGCTCACTCCTCTCATGGTAAGTCACTTTACTGGACCCACTGTGGGAGCTCACTCCTCTCATGATAAGTCACTTTTCTAGACCCACTGTGCGAGGTCACCCCTTACATGGTAAGTCACTTTACTAGACCTACTGAGGGATCTCACTCCTCTCATGGTAAGTCACTTGACTAGACCCACTGTGGGAGCTCACTCCTCTCATGGTAAGTCACTTTTCTAGACCCACTGTGCGAGGTCACCCCTTTCATGGTAAGTCACTTTACTAGACCCATTGTGGGAGCTCACTCCTCTCATGGTATGTCCCTTTACTGGACCCACTGTGGGAGCTCATTCCTTTACTGGTAAGTCCCTTTACTGGACCCACTGTTGGAACTCACTCCTCTCATGGTTAGTCACTTCACTAGACACACTGTGGGAGCTCACTCCCCTCATGGTTAGTCACTTTATTGGACCCAATGTGGGAGCTCACTCCTCTCATGATAAGTCACTTTACTAGACCCACTGTTGGAGCTCACCCCTTTCATGGTAAGTCACTTTACTAGACCTACTGAGGGATCTCACTCCTCTCATGGTAAGTCACTTGACTGGACCCACTGTGGGAGCTCACTCCTCTCATGGTTAGTCACTTGACTGGACACACTGTGGGAGCTCACTCCTCTCATGGTAAGTCACTTGACTGGACCCACTGTGGGAGCTCACTCCTCTCATGGTAAGTCACTTTACTAGACCCACTGTGGGAGCTCACTCCTCTCATGGTAAGTCACTTGACTGGACCCACTGTGGGAGCTCACTCCTCTCATGGTAAGTCACTTTACTAGACCCACTGTGGGAGCTCACTCCTCTCATGGTAAGTCACTTTACTGGACCCACTGTGGGAGCTCACTCCTCTCATGATAAGTCACTTTTCTAGACCCACTGTGCGAGGTCACCCCTTTCATGGTAAGTCACTTTACTAGACCTACTGAGGGATCTCACTCCTCTCATGGTAAGTCACTTGACTAGACCCACTGTGGGAGCTCACTCCTCTCATGGTAAGTCACTTTTCTAGACCCACTGTGCGAGGTCACCCCTTTCATGGTAAGTCACTTTACTAGACCCATTGTGGGAGCTCACTCCTCTCATGGTAAGTCACTTTACTAGACCTACTGAGGGATCTCACTCCTCTCATGGTAAGTCACTTTACTAGACCCACTGTGCGAGGTCACCCCTTTCATGGTAAGTCACTTTACTAGACCTACTGAGGGATCTCACTCCTCTCATGGTAAGTCACTTCACTAGATCCACTGTGGGAGCTCACTCCTCTCATGGTAAGTCACTTTACTGGACCCACTGTGGGAGCTCACTCCTCTCATGGTTAGTCACTTTACTAGACCCACTGTGGGAGCTCACTCCTCTCATGGTAAGTCACTTTACTGGACCCACTGTGGGAGCTCACTCCTCTCATGGTAAGTCACTTTACTAGACCCACTGTGGGAGCTCACTCCTCTCATGGTAAGTCACTTTTCTAGACCCACTGTGCGAGGTCACCCCTTTCATGGTAAGTCACTTTACTGGACCCACTGTGGGAGCTCACTCCTCTCATGGTAAGTCACTTTACTAGACCCACTGTGGGAGCTCACTCCTCTCATGGTAAGTCACTTTACTAGACCTACTGAGGGATCTCACTCCTCTCATGGTAAGTCACTTGACTAGACCCACTGTGGGAGCTCACTCCTCTCATGGTAAGTCACTTTACTAGACCCACTGTGGGAGCTCACTCCTCTCATGGTAAGTCACTTTACTAGACCTACTGAGGGATCTCACTCCTCTCATGGTAAGTCACTTGACTAGACCCCCTGAGATGGCTCACTCTTCTCATGGTAAGTCACTTTACTAGACCCACTGTGGGAGCTCACTCCTCTCATGGTAAGTCACTTTACTGGACCCATTGTGGGAGCTCACTCCTCTCATGGTTAGTCACTTTACTGGACCCACTGTTGGAGCTCACTCCTCTCATGATAAGTCACTTTACTAGACCCACTGTGCGAGGTCACCCCTTTCATGGTAAGTCACTTTACTAGACCCATTGTGGGAGCTCACTCCTCTCATGGTAAGTCACTTTACTGGACCCACTGTTGGAGCTCACTCCTCTCATGGTAAGTCACTTTACTAGACCCACTGTGCGAGGTCACCCCTTTCATGGTAAGTCACTTTACTGGACCCATTGTGGGAGCTCACTCCTCTCATGGTAAGTCACTTTACTGGACCCACTGTGGGAGCTCATTCTTCTCATGGTAAGTCACTTTACTGGACCCACTGTGGGAGCTCATTCTTCTCATGGTAAGTCACTTGACTAGACCCCCTGTGATGGCTCACTCTTCTCATGGTAAGTCACTTTACTAGACCCATTGTGGGAGCTCACTCCTCTCATGGTAAGTCACTTTACTGGACCCACTGTGGAAGCTCACTCCTCTCATGGTAAGTCACTTTACTAGACCTACTGAGGGATCTCACTCCTCTCATGGTAAGTCACTTGACTAGACCCCCTGAGATGGCTCACTCTTCTCATGGTAAGTCACTTTACTGGACCCATTGTGGGAGCTCACTCCTCTCATGGTTAGTCACTTTACTAGACCCACTGTTGGAGCTCACTCCTCACATGATAAGTCACTTTACTAGACCCACTGTGCGAGGTCACCCCTTTCATGGTAAGTCACATTACTAGACCTACTGAGGGATCTCACTCCTCTCATGGTAAGTCACTTTACTGGACCCACTGTGGGAGCTCATTCTTCTCATGGTAAGTCACTTGACTAGACCCCCTGTGATGGCTCACTCTTCTCATGGTAAGTCACTTCACTAGACCCACTGTGGGAGGTCACTCCTCTCATGGTTAGTCACTTTACTAGACCCACTGTGCGAGGTCACCCCTTTCATGGTAAGTCACTTTACTAGACCCATTGTGGGAGCTCACTCCTCTCATGGTAAGTCACTTTACTGGACCCACTGTGGAAGCTCACTCCTCTCATGGTAAGTCACTTTACTAGACCTACTGAGGGATCTCACTCCTCTCATGGTAAGTCACTTGACTAGACCCCCTGAGATGGCTCACTCTTCTCATGGTAAGTCACTTTACTGGACCCACTGTGGGAGCTCACTCTTCTCATGGTAAGTCACTTGACTAGACCCCCTGAGATGGCTCACTCTTCTCATGGTAAGTCACTTCACTAGACCCACTGTGGGAGCTCACTCCTCTCATGGTTAGTCACTTTACTGGACCCATTGTGGGAGCTCACTCCTCTCATGGTAATCACTTTACTGGACCCACTGTTGGAGCTTATACCTCTCATGATAAGTCACTTTACTAGACCCACTGTGCGAGGTCACCCCTTTCATGGTAAGTCACTTTACTAGACCCATTGTGGGAGCTCACTCCTCTCATGGTAAGTCACTTTACTGGACCCATTGTGGGAGCTCACTCCTCTCATGGTTAGTCACTTTACTAGACCCACTGTGGGAGCTCACTCCTCTCATGGTAAGTCCCTTGACTGGACCCACTGACCCAATGCAAAACATATACTTATATGAATATCACTAATGTTTTGTTCAGATTTATGAGGTACTTTATTTGCCAGTCCAAAGGGAGTGGCAGTCGTATGAATTACTGGTCCCAGCCTAATTTTACCGGTAATTACCAGGGGACCACAGGTTTTATATTCCCAGTTTTTATACATTTGTTTTAGGTTCTGTCATCAGCTCTGACAAGGTGTATACTTCATCCAATAGAGAAGCTCTCATCTGGACTAGGTCGCAGCTTTCGCGTGTTCTTCGCCGAGATTCCTGCCCAGTGGCAGCCCATCATCATGGTCCTCCTCCTGCTCCTGGCTCTGGTGCTGCTGCTCCTGGTCTTCAGCTACCGAATCTCCATACCACTACTCTTCAGAGTGGAACCCAAGACTCCTGTGCAGGACAAGCTACCCCTGCCGCCTAGGATGGAACTTTTATCAAATGCCCATGGCCATTGTGATCATCCAGGTCATGTGCATCATGTGCCAGACAGACGCAGCACACTCAAAGGCATCCCGATGAAGACCAAAGGGCGCAGGCTGAGACTTGCCTCCTGGGATAACGAGCGTGATTAGCATCACTCCACATTAGTTCAGGGATTTATCTGGGTGTATTTATTTGTGTGTCCTGTGGATTCTCAGGAACATGTCACAAGGATGAATATGAGGGGCCAAGGGTTTTCAATGTGACATACACTACTCTTCATTTTTCCAAGTGTTAGAAAGATTTCCTAGCACTGCATGATACGAAGCATTGCACTGATGGAAGGTCTCGACAGAATTGAAGTTGTAAGAAAACGGAAGACTGCAAAAATGGTGAAAATATACAATTTATGAAGACTTTCGGTAGAACAAAAAACATAAATTACACTTTGCGAGGGGAGGTCATTTTGCGAAAACAAGGACCTGACTGGATCTCGGCCTGCAGCGTCAGTCCAGACAGATTACCTCACAATGTGGTGTCCTTGTTTTTGCTAAGAGTATTTACTGTTATTTGTATGCTGTTCAGTTTGTGGTGACTATTCATTTAGTATTCCCAACATGATATTTGGATACAAATATGTGACAGGTACTGCATGCATTGTCACTTTGGCCATGTTACAAAAGAAATTAGATCATATGTGTTAATGACTTTGTTTCAAGTGTAACATATCACCCAGTGATGTAGCAATTCATTACAAAACAAATCATGTTTATTACACCTTTCTTGTTGTGAAAAGTAGCTAGTGATTATTAAAGAAACATGTCACCTTTCTTTTGAGAAATATGCTGAAACAATGAAAACTTTATCTCGAAAACGGAAAAGATGAGTTTTTGTGCTGAAGTCCAACTCCAAACACATGGAATGAGAGTCAAATCCATACGAAAAGAATTGTCGTTACCTCATGCCTAATTACCCGGAACAACTTAACTTGATTTTCGTGGCTATTTTGACAAATATTACAAAAAAATCGAGTGCGTATTTTCAAAGTGTGTCAGTGTAGGTTTTAGGGATGGGTTAATAAGGTATCATGAAACTGATGAAACTGCCCCTTGATAACCTGTCCCTGTAAACCTGCCCAGCCCTTCCCACCACCTGATAACACAACACAGGACAAGTATCTCAGGAAACAATATTTCATCATAAGTTTTATGCAAATATTTTCAAACTATCTAGCTCCAACTCAATCTATTTAAAGGTACCGTATTCGACGTTGTAAGCGCCCACCTCTAATAAGTGCCCATGGCGACATTTGCTAAGATATTGGCTAGTGAACAATCCCAACTATCACCCCTTCCGACTGATCAATGTACACAGGACTTATTTATTCTTGTATAATACGCACTCGTGTGTTATATGCACCCTTAGTTATGGGCAATTAAATTCTTGAAAAATATATCTGTTGTACATAAACATTTCAGGCTGTCAGCATAAACCATGGAATTTTTCTTTTAACTGTGTATTTTTCACCAAAATAATATTTTAATAAGAGCTCCCTATTTCTAATTTTGAGAGCCCTGGGCGCTTATTACATCGAATACGGTATTTAAATTCCTAGATTCTTAACATAGACATGTATAGTCAAACCCTGTTGGCTCGGACTCCTGGGGGACCAGATAAATAGTTAGACTTCTCCGGGATTCAACACGTCCAGCTTGACCGTATAACCATCTGACCTAGCCATCAGAAAACAGGAGGCGAATCAACTACGTTTGGCATATTATGTAAAAAAAAACTTTATTATTAGAAATAAAACAAGTTTTTGTCATATCTACATTTATGCATCTGTGTGCATTTTAATCAAATTTTACAAATGCTAAGCTGTGTTTTTTTCAAACTTTTGAGTTTGACTTTATCATGTAAATTTATTGTTTACTCTTTGGACTGTAAATGGAGTTTGAGACAACCAGGAATTTGACACATCCAGTGCGACACAATTAGGTTAAAATTGTGGTAGGTACATCAGTGTTAAAATACACGCCTGCCCGAAAGTCAGAGGCGGTCTATTTTCCTGAGGGACGGTCAGTTTTGAAAAGTTGCACGCCCGATGGCCAGGCTATTATTGTATTCCCCAAATTTCGTAAGCATTCTAGCATTCATGTAAGAGGTAAACTAACTGTCAATATTAAACACATTATTCAGTCACTTCCGGGTATGCTGATATAGGTTTCTGTCCTCATACTTTTCTTGTGTTTATTTTTTTGTACTTTTGGGTATAGACAGACTTGAAAATTCTGCACTGGCAACATTTTATCTGGTCTTGTAACTTTTCTACATTGCCAGTCTGGTTGTCTGACTTACATTTTGCAGATTTGTTTACACTGGATACTGTAAGAATTCGCTTAGACCACAAACACATCTTAATTTAGGACCACAGGGTTTGACTATTTAGAAAGCAGTAGACTGTGAGCAATCCTTCTTGAACATGTTGAATAGGAAAGGCTTCCTCTTGTTTGAGAAGTCGATGACATTTGAGACTTCCTCCTTGGTTTAATAGATAGACTGTCTGCTCGGAGGGCGGAAGGTTGGTGGTTTCATCACTGCCAACCATACCAAAAGATGATAAAAGATGGTATTTGTTGTTGCCATGCCTGGTGCTCATCATTGAGGGGACAAAACAAGGACTGGTCAGCTCGGAATCGCTATACTGTGTCTAAGTGGGGTATCAATATTGAACTACAGAATGGTATCTCAGTGGGCTAGCACTATAAAACCGGACTAGTACAAGCAGCCACACACGTATACAATGTTAAGGCCCATTTCATCTCACCTTACATCACACCCAGACAATTGATGCAATACATTCAGCAGACTCCTCATAGCTATGGTAGTAGATGTGTAGACAGGTGTATTAATTATTCACAGGTACTAGTTCGAGATACTCCGCATTATTTTTTTGTAAGATAATTTTATTACAGAAACGACAGTATTAACAGTTTTATACTGAAGCATAGCCATGTACAAATATTCATTCTAAAGACTAAATGATAAGAAATTGGAATAAGATCTACAAAATTCCTACAAGTATGTTGCCAAAGATGGGGCAGTTTTATGGGCAGCAAAAAACAGTTTTCCAAGTTGTAGTTAACCTTGAATCAATTATTACATATCAGCCATGCAGTAGGGTATAAATATCATTAATACTAACACATTTGTGATAATGTGACTGGTCGTTTCATATTAGTGTGACCAGTGTGACCTGTCACTTTCATGATCTGGTAAGCGACGCTCTGATTGGTCTGATGAAAGGCTGTTCTGAAGTCGGATGAAAGGTTGTTCATCCTCATGGGATGTCCTCCGATCTTTGTTTAGTGGTAGCGAGAACTAAGATCTGATTTTACTGAGATTGACATTTGAACGGAGGAGGCGTTGCACAGTACGTGGGAAGCACTGCCATACAATCACAACCATATATTAGACATTCCGGAATGTTCGTTTGTTCAGTTTTCAAATTTTAATCGAGAACTGTGTCAACATATTTTTAAAGCGTAGTCTGAAATGGAAGTGGTCAGGTTGAAACGAGTGCTGTAAAGATCGAGAAAGCTGCTTCCCAATTGGCTGATGTTGATTTCTTGTTAGTTGTTTCAGTGGTCGGTCAAAGTTTAAAATATCCTCAGATCTTTGTTTAGCAGCAACGAAAACTTAGAGCTGATTTTAACGAGATTGAGTCTTTTTATTGGTGCATTATGTTCAATAGCTAAGTGTGAACCATTTGTCGCTATTGTGTGGGACCAAGATATGCTTTCATATATCCTGCATCTCCTTTTTTTGTGGTTCTACATATTTCTTTTGATATCTGTATGCCACTTTAAGGTGCATATACATATATATGTTAAGAATATTTAATGATCATAGTGACTATGCATGGATTGTATGTTTAGATTTTGTGATGAATCGATCATATTGAAAATATTAGACGCCTGTCAGCTGTAATTATCATAGGCCAGTAATTGCTTACTTTTCGTCGTGATTCAATGGAGCGATACTGAATATCACATCCCCGTAGGGATTCTGGGTAAAAATAGGTCCCCAGCAACCCGTGCCGGTCGTAATGGGCTGGTGGTCAGTCTCGGTGAATTGGTTTATTGCATGTTATCATACTCATAATTATATGGAGTTGCTTGCTCATAATATCAATCACTGGATTGTTTACAGGTCACTGTCATATAGTTGGAATATTGCTGAGTGTGGCGTTTCATAACAAACAAAAACATTGGCATTGCTTGTTTGCATATACAGTAAACATAGGCAGATCCAGAGGGAGTAAAATTATCAGAGAGGATTTTGATACTTTGGACCCCTCCCTTTCAAAAATCCTGGATCTGAACCTTGGTAAATCCTCGTCAACTATCTCGATAATGCACAGGCTGTTATGAACTAGATACATTGAATTACATCGGTACTTTCCTACAAGCAGGAACCTAATGACATATCAGTGCCCCCATTTTAACTCTGACTAGATTGATAGAATGTCCAGTCTATTGATCCTCAAGGTTAGGCCCTTTGAACCTCTATATCAGAATTGCAGAATATGTCCTTGAACTTGAAGTTACCTCTATGCACAAAAGATTATAACATTAAGCCGATGTTAGTACTCGCTGTGGCCATGGTGTAATGTAGAGATACCAACCCCGAATTGAGTTAACTTTAAAAAGCAATAAATAATATTATGAGCCTGACTGACTATGGTTTTGATGAAAATTAATCTCCTTTTTCTTTGCATTTTGTAACCATACCTCTCAAAGTCTGTAAACCTTCCCTTCACATGCCAAACGTGGGATTATTATGTATATGTTACATGCTATGAGCAAGGTCAATAACTAGCTTATAGTACTGAAGTTTTTGGACAGAAAGTGTATAATTTCCCCGTCATTTTATTTGTGGAATATTGTTCAAAATATTGTAATATTGCCAAAATCGAAATGCTTCGAATCTGTGAATGTATCCGGTCAGGCTTCTGTATTCTGACCCTTAGTTGGTCATCACCATACCTGTGCTCATGTCCACCAAACTGCTAACACTGTATGGTTAACACCCCTGAACGGGTTCCAGTGTTGTTGTAGTGTGTCCACCTGACCAGATATCTTGGCTCCTTGCACAAAGCTGTAAAGGCACATGACTGTTGTATGTCTATGCTGAGGTTGTGATATTGGCCCAACAGTTTCACTGTACAACTGCCATTGACTTATAATAATGTGCAATTTGAATGACTGGATCCGTTTCGAAGCTGTCAGAGCTGAAAAGTTCAATGTTGTTCCCAGTTTCTGTTTGTTATTTATTATGTGTTGTTCATGTATTGTCTATTTTCGTTTTTGAATCATGTCAAGGGACGATCAGGGTTGTGCAAAGCTATGACGTCATCAGTGGAATTTCAATGCATAAGAGGGGAATTTCTAAGAATTGACTTTCACTTTGTGTGA